CGTATCTTGTTCTTAATCATATTTTTTTTTTTTTTTACAAATAATGGTCCATACTACTATCACAGATTTTAAATTATACCGAAATTATAATACATTTATCGATTCTTGATGCCCACAACCCTTTCAATCGCAAATCAATTTCACAATTCACTTTCTCGCCCTTTTGTTCCGCCATTGTGTTGCAACGCAATGTGATCAATCGTGCGTCTTACCATGCACACAGACGCATACACATTACATTTAAAAAATAACCATCTTTATAACATTATTAACGGGTACACCCATCACACGAAGCTTTATTCATTTATTTATATAGTTTTTTGTTAATTACAACAATTCCTTATGCCGGTGGTTGCCGAATCAGCTCGACAACGTATCTTGTTCTTAATATACAATATATAAAATTACACATCACGTAGTAAATCTAATGCAATTTTCACTGCTATGTATATTTTTGTTTAACACAGAAAATGTCGGTAAGCAATAAAAATCCAATACTTTAAACATTATATACAAATACGTCGAACATATGCGAAAGATAATAAAATTGAGTTTACTTTAAGCTCGGATTCTTACTTTAAAAACTGAATAAATTTTTATTTGCATTTGCAATGTATATACATACATGCATGATAATAATGGAAGAAGCGTACTACCCATATGATAAATTGTATCGTACATAATACTCCCGTTTTAATTTGGATTCCTTGCGTGGCTGATGCGATTAAGGCGATAATTTTGCATGACCCACTCGCTGTTTTCCTATTAAAACAATATAAAATTCTGGGAATTCTTGGTTTCATAATTATGCGAATCCATTTTCTACATAATTATAAAATTCATTTTCAATTAAATATTGTCGGGGTTCAATAACTTATATTAAAATAATCTATTGCAAAATCGCACTCACCGTAAATGAAAAAATACTAACAGATATTCAAAAAATCGACATTAGAAAAAGAAGTTTTTAAATAAAACAACTGAATAAATAAAACGTACATAACAATTGTATGATAAGGCATTCGATAACGATATTTCCGTTAGTCATAGAAAAACGCCAAAACAAGAAGAACTAAAAGAAAATATTCAGTTTGTCCAGTAGGTATCTTATTTTGGAAAAACCGAGAACCATTAAATTTGTTGTTTTATTTAGTTTGAAGTATTAGACGTACTGGGATAGTGGAACATTGTGCCGCTCGTGATGCCGGCAGAACGGATGGCCGGTTTTGGTGGCAATTTTGGGGTGACCTGTCCCGAATTCGACTCATTAATAAAGCGTGGAGATATATTCGACGGTTGAACAGGAGCACTAAAAATAGTAGTAAATTACAGAAAAAATTATTATTACACATTTTTACTTATTTAAAACTGTTTTTTTATATTTCCGTTAAATATTATAAACAATAAAGAAAGTAATTGCTACCTTGAAGCGCCGTTGGTGTAGCTCAAATTTCGAGGAGGAAGGTGCGGATGCAGCGTTGATTGCCTTCTTATGTGCAACTGGGACGTGTATGTTGGATTTAATCTTGGCAACGTATTGGGAGAGAAATTTAAATTCTGAGAAGGATACGGCAGGCTGTTGTGATGAGAATTTGGGGAAACGGTCGCCTCCCTTCGCGGTGGTAATGGCGGAGGTGGCGGAGAAATTTCTTTCGAAGAAACGGCAAGCTTCGCCTAAACAAATATAACGTACATATGAATAAATGTTATTATTAATTACTAATTTCTACTTCTACGTGGAACGTTTCCTTTACCTGATGAGGAGAACTTATTTCGACGCTATCTCTTCTTCGTCGCGGCGGTAATGGAGGTGGTGTCGAAGACAAACAAGGACTAACGGGATCGATGGTTGGTAAAAATGGGCCAGGAGATGATGGACTATGAGGGCCGGGACTGCTAGGGCCGCTGGTGCCGCAGTAAGTGGGCGACTGATTGATCTTTTGCTGTTGGCTAAAGATAGAAAATTATTAAGAACATTCATCAATACATTTTAAAATGTTTATATTAATAAACTAGCTTTTAACCGTGTCTTCGTATCACCCGGCAATGTTAATTCCAGTTGTTTAAAATAAATATGTACAATTGCTCTAGTCAATAAATAACTAAAAAAATGTAAACTGTATATTTTAAAGAAAATTACTTAATGTTTTAGGAACTTCATTGAATATAAGCCTAGCCATGTTTCGGTTTATTAAACTAGTAACGATTTCACTTCTATTACTAAAAAAAAGTAGAGTACATAGTTCGTTCCTGACACCACCTCTTTATGTCTGTAAAGTCCCATCGAAATGGGTTCGGCCGTTTCGAAGATTATCTCGCAAAGAACGACAAAATATTTTTTGAAGGGTCGTTTCTCTATCTTACGATTAGTTAAATACAAATAATCATATGAGCTTAAAAAAATGCAGTTATTTCGATATTACACATAGACACTTCAAATTTATATTTATAGGTAAAGCAAATAGAAACAAAATTTGTACTCTTTGTCGATTTCGTATGTCAATTTAACTCCCTTCGTACATTTTCGTTGCCATTTCCGCGACAAATGTTTTTTTTTAGAACATACTACCTTCGTTATAAAAATTTCACTTGAAAACGAAAAGAAAAGTTACATGTGGGGAGGAGCGGGGGCTATTCCGCCAAGGTTGCCTCCACTAACAAACATAGAATCGACGCGTGGATTGATTGGAGGTGGAATAACGAATGAGGAACTGCGAAATGACGCAGCCGACACGATCGAACTAACGCTAGGGCTCCTACTGTGACTGGGTTGGAACCAATTAATCAAAGGTGTTGCAGCTGCTGGCGATATTGGGCTTAAAGTGGGACTATTCTGACCTCCGCTGTTTGTCGGTATCTGAACCTACATAACAATTAAACAATTTATTATTGTAACTGTTGATGTTTCTTTTAGCAAAATACACATGCAAAAAGTAATGATAAAAGAAATCAATTGCGATTAAGCAACGTAACCATTTTTTTGCAGAAGATAACTTGTTCTAACTACAATCATTATATATTATGAATATTTCACTTAATTATGCCACAAAATGATAATAAGAGTGCTTTTAACATTAGAATGTAGTTGGTTACCTGTGCAAAAACGCTGAAGTCATTATCCGACTTGGTACCGCCAATGTCGTCCGTCGCTTTAACACTCACTGCTTCTTCTTGTTTTGTGGTCACAACGCCGGTGACATTTGGAATATTATTGGCGGTACTTTGAACGGACTGTTGATTCTGCGAAAGTGGAGCTGTAGTCGTTGTTGTGGTCATTGTAGATAAGGTCGACATTGGACCTACCACCGCAACTGCCGTCGCCGTTGAAGAAGAGGAAGAAGAAGCAGTCATTCGTGTGATTTTCGTTTTTATGCCTGGACTTTTTAAATTTAAATTTGGCCATTTTCGTGGAAACTTGGGCAATTGACGACATTGACGTGGCTCAATTTCCATCGATTTATTATACAAGTAGTTACTAATGTCCGTATCGTTCATATCACCGAAAGGATTTAAATTTTCCAAGAAATGCTAATGAGTAAATAAACGATTACATATTATATATATATAGGTGTACTCATATGTGGATTACAAAATACTCACTCTAATTTTCGGTTCAACGCTAAAGCAGTAGGGTTGATTTTGATATTGTTGAATTTCGCCCGTAATGTCCGCCACTTTTCGTCTTTTAAAGAAATTTATCAGTTGAGTGTTGGGCAGAAAGTCAGGATTACCTTCTTCTAGGTGCAAAATGTTAGTCAAGTAGAGTCCCAAGAAAGGCACGCAAGGCGGATTTATCGACCTGAGTTTCTCCTGATATCTCTTCAAGTGGTCGTCCGTTTTCCAGTCTTCAAATATTTTCTTTTGGTTTTGGGGTAAAGCCTGTAAAACGGGCATTATTTAAACAACATGATACAATAAATGATAAATTCAATCGACAACGTACGTTAAATGTAAATTTTAGACGATGAACAGAAGCAGAACTGAGAGCCGACACGAAAGCTAAAACTGCATTGAAATTGTTCAAATCTTGCAGAACCATCATTATTTCGATTATTCGACTCAAAACCGCCACCCTTTCTTCAAAATTGTCTGTTTCCACGATATTTTTTTCGAGCCATCGGGTTACCTACGTGAATAAAATATTGTCTTTTAATTTTACCAAAATCGAAATAAATAAAAAGAAAATTACCGTTGTGGTGTATTTCATCATACGAAGTAGATTAGGGCTCGTCACTTCTTTTTCTTTTTTCGTCCACACAGAACCGACCAGTTCAGAGGGTTTAACGGTTCGATAAATATCAAATTCGAGAAGAGTCAGTTGTCTAGCAATTTCCACAGGATGAAGAGTTAATATTCCGTACTCCTCTTCGGACACCTGATGATGCCATTCTATGGGAGGTGGCAATTCGTCGAACGCAAACTTTATATGCCTCTGGTTGTCGGGCTCCGACTAGCATACGTCAAATTAAAATTTACTGCTCAACATTTAAAATTTATCCACCCATACCTTTCTCTGAACAATTTTTAGAACGCTATCGACCCACTTCTTCATACTCTTTCCATTAACGGATTCGAGGAACTCGTGCAATTTTTCCAAAAGGCTCGGGTCGCGCTCGAAATCGTAAAAGTGATGATCGACCCAATGTCTCAAAACATTCAACACTCTAAAAAAATACCAAAAACATCAATAGCAATATATCGTAATTTATTATAAAAAGGCTATGACTTTCCTCGGCGTTACCTGGAAAGGATTGGATATTCGGACTTGATAGCCATGGTCCAGGATTAATTCTTCAGCTTCGGCGATTCCACGAATGACACCGACCGAAGGAAGAAAAGCCAATCCTGAGCCACCGCCATTATTTTATTTTACTTTATATTGTAAATATTACCTGAATTGTACCGGTTGACAGTACTCCTTTCGGTAACGTTTCCAATCTTCACGTTGAGAATAGACCATAGACGGGTCCGGTATATTGAACCGTTCGATGAGTAAAGCCAAAAGATCCGAAGGAGCGCAGAAACTGCGAAACGTTGTTAGAAATGTGCGAACAAACTTCGGATCCGCGTAAATGTGATACGTTAATCGTTCAACCAATTTATACAAAGTGGCTCCCTAAAATAATAATCGAAAGATAAAATGAATAATGAAGAAAGATAATTTTGTTATTACTTTTATAAGAGGAACTCCGCCGTTCTCTCTCTGTTCCAATATTATATTGTCTTTGGAATCTGGTTCGGCAAATTTGTAAATTTCAGGAGAGGGCAACTTCAGCGGATGTTTCCGCTCGATGTCCGAAAGAATACCGTCCAATATTCGTTCGAGCATTGAACGTGTATTCAGCATGACGAGATCGGCCATCCATGAGTTTTTGTCTTCGGCGTTTTTCGCACACAACGTGACGGCTGGCTGTATTCTAGGCGATATTTCGAACGAATTCTTTAATTCGTCAGTATCCGAATGATCAATTATTTCGACTTTTCGAATAAAAAATCTTTCTTTAATTCGACATTCGGGATGACTGAGATGAACCGAACTTTGTCGTCGCGAATTTGGTTTGCACAATATCATCAGACCGTCAAATAGAAACACTCGTCTGTCTGTCAGTCTCTTACCCGAACTCACTTTTAACAAAACATCCTCTGAAATTAACGTCGATCTACGCATTAGATACAAGTGCAAATGTATAAGTAAATAAAAAAATCACATAATATAACACCGACGGCCTACTTTCGGTAAATATGGAATTTGTTGAATATTCTACAACTTTAAGCTAGTAGCAGCTACTCAGGTGAACTTGGTGAAACAAATATAAATAATGTAAAAAACTATACATTATTAGCGATTGAAGCGCTTTCCAAAGTTTTAAATAACTCTTGTAATGCTCTTAATATTACACGTAATAAGTGACCAGTGGCCAATTTCCAGGCTTAGCGCTCCATAAAAAGGAAAACGTCGCAGTAAGACCGCAAATGTATGCCCTGCGTTTGTATACGGGTCTACGCAACTTGTTCGTATTTGGAATGTTGGCGCGGATCTCAGAGCATGCGTAAAAAAATCAGGATCAATGTGAGATTAAATTTGTGACACTGATATCAAAATGAATTTTTGAAATATTTTAAAATGCAAATTGAATTTTGCAAAAACTATTTTACCGATTTTCACGAAATTGTGAGTGTAACTTACGTATGTATTAAAGGAACTATCGATTTTCGTCGCAAAAAACCTATTGCTTCATTTGATTGTAAGCACATTGAATTATATGACGAAAATGCGATAAAATGTAACGCTATTTTTGATTTTGATATCGTTATTACTTGTTATTAATTTGAATTTGTGATAGTATTAGAAATTGATGTTACATCAAAGTTGTCTTCATCATCCATATATATATATATATGGATGATATATATCAAATTATGTCTTACCTCTGATGAATTCGTTACAACATTGACCGATATCCTTCGTGTCCCAATTCTCAACAATCCGCTGAAGTTCGTGGATTTTGTCGAGAGCATTCTGTCGACGGACTCGGGCATTATAAGGCGGAATTGCGTTTAATCGCTGTAAATTTTGTGCGCTAGTATACGACGATAGTTCGGTGAAAAGTGGTTTAAGCAGGCCTTCCACCTGCTCCAAGGTCTCCTTATCTTCGACCGATTCCGACAAACATTTAAGCAGCTTGATGTGCTCCAAATAACAAAAGCAGTGCTTAATTGGACCGAGAAGTAACGCTGGAAGATAATACTTGAGGGCGAGACGCATTCCCTGGCCGGCAGTTGCTAAAGTGCTGTTTATATCGGGACGTGACAATAAATTGTTCAATGTATCGCGACAGGATGAAGTCATAACATCATGTGCGTATTTGCTGTACACATCGAATTCAGCCGCTTCCGCTAACTCTATAATTAAAATAAAAAGAAAAAGATACAGTTATGCAATGGAACTACTGAAACACAGGTATACATGTACGTAGTTGATATCATGTGCGAACCTTCAAAACAGCTACCAATATAAGCCATTTGATCCTGTGCCATTTCCATCACGTCCTCCAAACTTCCGAGTAACGTTACAGTTAATTCGTAAATGTCTAGAATATTTGAAAAAATACAGTCCAACTCTTTTTGTGTAACGTTCAACTTTATTATTTCTTCTCTGGAAAAAAAATTTAGTGTTATGAAAATGTTTTAAAAGTTGTTAAAACATATTTGAAAGATTCTAACCTAAAAACCCTTATCACCATGTGTAACTCCCTAAGGTACTGTCTTTCAGACGCCATCAATTCCCTGACTACCTCCTCATACGTGAGGCTTGTTCGCGGGGCGGGGGGTAATACGGGAGGCTCACTGAGTACTCCGATGTTTCCACCGCCTTCATCTTGATAAAACATGTCCATTAAAGCCTAACGAAAAAAATTTTACAATTAAAACAGACACGTATTTGCTAAATTAAACGACTAGAAGACGTGAAATACAATAGAAGAAAAGCTTAAAAATCTAAATAAAAAAATAATAGAATAATTAAATTTTTACGTGCAAAAAGTATAAAAATCTATCAATTTTTTTATTTCGTTGCTTAATACGAAACACATATTGTACGGAATTATATGTATAAGAAAAAACTATTGAATGTTAATCACAGTGAATATATTTGTGTAATTTATTTTTCGCTTAACTTTAATTAATATGAACGACGGCTACGTTTCATAACTTGTATATATATTGCAGAAACAGTTGTAATAAACTAATTCGTGCTTAAGCGTCAATCAAAAAATTTTCATGCAAACTCAACCGCCAAATAAAAAAATCATATGAAGCTTTAATAATGCATATTGAAAAAAACAATGTACTTGAAGTATATTCGCATTTTATTGTCTATTATCGTTAATTTTTAATTTTTGCCAAAGATGTTTTAAATAACGTGTGATGGCTTAAACTAATATTGTACAATACGTAATATATCTTGTACGTTCACTAACACTACATACTTTTGGACATTAACAAAAATTAAAATTTAAATTAGAATGAAAGAGGATATTATGATTTTTATCGTTAAACTCAATGAATCGTCTACCTACCATGACAGTGGGCTATTTAGGCCAGGCATGAAAAAGCAGAAGCATATTAAAAACATTAACGATTAATATTACATTTATTACATGGAGCACGTGGCAATGGTGTTCTGAGATAATAAAAATAAATCAAAAAATTTGTGTGCCTTCTTAACTGCACCGTACATAAATAATAGCTTTTTTGCTCGTTCAACAGCATATTCACAACAGCCAATAGTTAGTTAATCGTATGGCGAATTTTTTATTTTTAATCATTGCACGTTTATCCGATAGCCTAGGCTACGAAAATTATAAAAAAAATACATGCAAGTAATAATTCTTTTTAAATATTCATAAACTTACAATAAAATGCCACGAAAAGTGTGCAAACGGGCGTACACAAGCCGTATTCATATCCCACGGGGGGGGGGGGAAATAGATAAAATGTCATCGTCTAATGTTCCTCTACACATTAAATTTTGATTATACTCTCAGTTTGATGAATATATTCCGAAGATACTGTTCAATTTGTTTTTTTGCTTTAATTTAATTTTTTTGATCAATGTTCTTTAAGATTTAAACAAAAAATTATTGTTACGTGTTTTCTTGTTTTTGCAATCACCAGCATATCTACTGACCATTACTGGATTTTCTTACTGTGTGTCCCTTTTACCGACTAAAAGGTTACCTGCCTACTATTCTATTACACCTGTTGTATGCATTTGGATTATTGGTTGTTACCAAAAATTACACAATCTAAATAATTAATTGGTTAACTATTTCAGTGACCGTCTTTTTTAATACTAAAATCCTGAATAATTGCAAAGTCGTTTTTTCATACATTTTTTTTTTTAGTAAAATGAATACTGCTTGAAAGTGTGTCATTTTTATCGAGATAATTTCATGGAAATCACTTTAACATCTATTTATGTACCTTACAGTAACATTGTGAACACGGACTAAAATATATAAACAAAACACTCATTATTAAAATGCATCAGTAAAATAATCTTACTTTATCAGCATTCATTGAAATTTGCACATCCTGAAAAGTGATTTCCACATGTTTTATATGCTTCACATAGTTTCCCGCCAGCTTAAGAATGTCCGCTGATATGTATTCCAAGACAGCAACCAAGAAAAGGGACACTGCAGAATCCACCTTGTATAACAACACCTCCTGAAATAATAAATCATAATATACTTATTAACAGTACATAAATATCATAATATAATCATCATAAGGTCGTCAGTCCTAATCCAGACTGATCCTAACCCGAGCTAATTTCCGCATTTCCCGAAAACTTCCTTAACAATTTGTGAACAGTAAAGTAACCTACGTCTACGTCTACTCCTCTTAACTCCCGTTTCTGTTTCTAAGAAATAAAAGTATATTATTACCTCTCGGAATTAAAACTGTTACTGTGAAAAGTAGTCAAACAAATGCAATAAAGATATTTAATCGACTACCAAATGATTTAAAAACTCTGAAAAATTTAACCACAAAGAAAATAAAATTAAAAAACGGTTGCAAAAAACATCTACCAACAACTACAAATTTCTATTTTAATTAATTATAGTTAAAGAAAAAAGAAATGATGTCAAACTTTATGCAAATTTAAATTTTGATTGTTTCTCATTTTTCTCTTATTTTTTGTATTTCTAGTTATTAAGTTAGATATTAAAATTGACCGATCCTACTGCGTTTACTTCTGTAGGGTTTACTATCTGATTACATGTGTAAACAACTAGTAATCACAAATAAATGTCTTGGACTAGCCCATTATGCCTGAGAAGGTGTCCTAGCAACCTATCTTGCTTATTTCTTATTGACTACCATAGAGTCCTCTGTTCTCCTTTCAAACACCTCTTCATTTCTAACCTTCTCAATCCACGGTATCCTCATCATTCGCCTGTAACACCACAACCTTTTCCTTTCTGCCGCGCCCAACGTCCATGTTTCGCTCCCGTACAGCGACGCGTTACGGACATACACCTCTGATAATCTTTTTGGAATTTCTAAATTAACCGTTCGTGAGCACAAAAGTGACTTCTCTTTGTTGAAAGCGACTCGACCCTGCGCTATCCTCTGTTTTATATCTACACTGCTCCTTCCATCCTAAGTTATCTAACTTCCTAAATACCGAAAATCAGCCATTTTTTCGTCTCGTATCTTTATATTCGCTCTTTACCTACTATTTCTTTCCTTGCATATGAGTATTTTTGTTTTACTTTTATTCATCTTCATTAAATACTGTTTTGTCAATACCACTTCCATTTTATTTAAGGCTATATTTAACTCCTCCTTGCTAGATACTAATACTGCTACATCATCTACAAATCCAAGCATACTAATCTCTTGCCCCTGTATTTCTATCCCTATAGTTGTCCTTCTTGTAATGTTGATCGCATCTTTGATGTATAAATTAAAAAGTAACGGTGACAGTGTGCAATATCACAATGAAAATTTCAATCAAAAATATATTATATTGAAATAAATTCAATCAATACTTACTTTTTGTAATAAATTGTGAATTCTGTCAACAGGTAATACTGATTTCTTTTTGCCTCTTTCCAAAGCTTCTTGTGCTTCTTTAAGAGCCCATTTATCGATTGGTGTTGGAAAAGTATTTTGAACACGATATTCCACATCCTAAAGCGTAATCATTCTTTATAACGTATTGTTGGTATAAGATATGTACACCTACTTGAACAGTATGGGGACTAGGCTTAGCACAAAGCATAGCCAGCAGTCTCAAGCATAAACTTTCTACGTAATCGAGAGCATCGTCCTTCGCACCTAAAGAAGGATGAACCTGTTCTAAAACCTAACAAAAATTTCAATTACAATAGCCAAACTTTAGTTAGATTGACAATGTTTTTACTTTTTTTAAAGCTGCTACCAGAACGCCTTTCCACTTGACCGAATTTTCTTCTGATTTAAAATCATATGTATGGTCTCCCACATTCACAATATTCATATTTAAATAAAAAAATCACCTTCAGTAATAAACACATAAAATTGTGAACACACTAACTGCCATTGTATAAAATTAAGGATTATTTCGTTTAATGCAAATAAATAACTGCAATTACTCGTCACCACTTTTCTCGTATTTTGCACATATATTTTAGTTTGTTATATAAAAGAAAATTAAACATCACGCAATTCATTTCATTAATTAATCACTGTTCTTGTACATAAATACAACCCGACACGCCATATTGAACTAAAGTGGCCATTACTCCATTAGCATTATTATTACCTGTCAACTTGTCTGTTGTCTACTATCCTTTTCTACGATAACAAAATATCCCTAAACTATCCAATTTTATCTCTTTTCGATATTTACATTTGAATTTGATTCTGCGTATTAATCGTTCCAATGCAATCGATAAAAGTTAGTTTTTGTTTTTGGCCATGATAAAGTCTAATTGGTTTTTATCATTATAAAGGTCGGACTTATGGAGTTTAGAATGAGAAACTAGAAAAACATCTACCTTGGGAGATGCCTATGCGAGATACGAGTACAATTTCCAACTCGTGTATAATTAGCCAACATAAAATAACAAAAATCAAATTTCGTAAATTAAATCTGTGCCAATCGTTCGTGACATTTTTATTTTTGACTAATAAATTTAATTGGTGAATTGGCGCCAGCTCAAAGGTCATCGGCAATGAATGTATATATATATATAAATAACATATAGTTTATACTGTGCCGGTGCGAAGTGAAACTGCTGTAATGCTGCTGTATATAGTTTATACTGTGGTATGAGTATGAGCAAGTATCAATGAATGACAAATTAGTTTAATCTATGGAAATTAGTCTTCATCAGTCTTCACGATGGATTTAGCTAAAATGTCACATCCAAATAAATTATGTTTGTGTAAATGGTACTTTAAAGGTACGTAACTCAATAAAGGATAGATGTAACCATTACAGATGCCGTTATTGTTTTAGCGGGATTTGCACTCTTACCGTTTCTATGGGCCATAAACAGTATATGGTTTTTTAAAGAAGCTTTTTATAAACCTCCTTTTGAAGAACAAAAAGATATAAAAAAATGTAAGGACAGTTTCTTGTTTAGTAGTACCCAATACGCATTTTTTCAATTACATTAATTTTTAATTATTTTCAAAATCCCTGCATTACCTACTGTATTTAAACTATTTGTCCCTATTTTGATGGATTAAATACCCTATCACAATACCTCTAATGTAATAATGTTACGGTTAATTTTAACTTTTCAGTTGTTGTACTGTCTGCTGTTGGAACTTTAGTATGGATTATAATAGTTATTGGCTGGGTTCTCACTTTTCAACTTAATAGAGCGAAATGGGGTGAATTTGCTGACGATATATCGTTTATAATTCCATTGGGCAGACCCTAAACATCACCAATATGCAATAAAAACTATATCAAATAAGTGAAGATAATAATATGTATAATAATCGTCTGTCGATGTTGTTTGTTTACCTTGTTCGTTTAGTTATAGCGATTTGTTGGAATGTGTAGTTCATAATGTAAGATAATTTTAAAACATCAATCGAACGTTCACATAACAAAGAAAAAGATAAATTCAAAATTACAGTTATATGACAGTATAATTTAAATCACTATTGATCACATTAGTTTTATCTATGAGACTAGTAGTTCCAATAAATCACAAAAGTTGTATTATCTATGATTATTGTGCTACAGTTCAGGTGGTCTACGTTTAAATTATCTATATGTCTATCTATGCTATACGTCTTCAATTTTGTGTTTTTTTTGTGGTTATGTAGAATAGGAAATAAGTAATAGTAATTATTATAAAANTGGTCATTTTCTTTTCTAATCGTGTCTATTTCACCTTGACAAACTATGGGACCACCTGTAATAATTATATATTTAAACATTACATAGTATTGTTACATAAATACACTTATCGGACTATCTACCTTGACCAATTAATTCCAAACGCAGCTGCTGTATTGTCTTTTTCAAACGATTTATCTCTGCAATTTTTGGATCTTGATTGACAATAGGTTTATTCTTAATTTTTCTTGCTCTATCAGCATATCGCAAAGTTGATAGCGTCTCTTCTAGATTATAATCAGCTGGACTAACGCAAGCAATCATTAATGTGATGCTATTACCTCCAAGAGAATCTAAAATTTACACATTTCAGATCAATAAATAAATTAATTAATTAAATATATTAAATGATGTGCTTACAATAACATAATAAATGAACACAACGTTTAGCTATAAATTGCGTATCTTTGTTATTATGAGGTTACAACAAATTATTTTTTTTACTTATTTATTTGTTTATTTTTCACCTTTTAATAGTCTTGTCAAATTGCTGTCTCTGTAAGAGATATAACCCGCTTGCAGTTTTTCATCTCCCAAAGCAGATATGACATTTCCAAGGGCAAGTAATCCCTTATTTATATTTATGCCTTCTTTAAAAGTTTGTCCAGTTGCTCCAGTTTTCTTTGATCTTTCTGAACCGGCTAGATCTACCAAATGAAACTTTGCAGCCTTGTTTTGGTTACTGAAATTGATTTTTCCTCTGAATAGTTAAAAAGTATTATAGATTAAATTTTTACCTGTCATCTTTCTTTTGCATGCATAGGTTAATGGTAAAAATTGCATGACTACGACTACTTTGGGCATTCATATTAGTGGATCCCACTACCCGAGACAAAGAACCGATTCTTAAAAACTCCAAAGCTTTATGAGCACTATCAACGGTTTCTTCTGTTAAGTTAGGAATCAATATATTTTTTCCGTCATCTCTAATTTCGACATTACACTGATCTTTCGGTTTTTTTGACAATAAATCGTACAGTGTCTCCTGATAAAGTTCCATAAACGTTACCGTTACAGTAAAATCATAAGAAAAATTATCGCGGACGTAGGTAAAAATGTCGTGTATTGCCCGGGGTATAATTCCCATTTCACCCTCACCATCATAACAAGTACCCATGGTATAAGTTTTTCCAGAGCCTGTTTGTCCATAAGCCAATATGGTCACATTGTACCCCTACAAAAAGCATAATAAGCTAAACAGCTAAAGTTTTTTTGTATTATTAAACCTTAAACAAGTTGGTAATTAACTTCTTGGAACAACTGTTGTAAAATTCTTCCTGTGTTGATTCACAATCGTAGACGTAATTGTATGTGAAGGCTTTATCTGCCACCTGAACTTGTTGTAATGAAGGTATAACTTCTAAAACATTGTTGCATCCTCTAGCTATTTCTGACTCGACCAATGGCCTGATTCGTACAGCAACCTTTACCGAATCGTTACAGTCTCGATCGTTGTTTGGTTCGTTCATCTAAATTGTTGGAAATATATAATATCAACTACAAACTACAAATTTGCATTTATTAAAACCTCCAGCTATTTATTTAAACCTGCCAACTAAGGATACAATTTCTTATTATAAATTATCAAGCAAAATGAACAAAACCGACTCAAATAATGGTAGTACCGGCTTAAAACTCAAAAAGAAGAATCGTTTTTTCGAAATACAGTTATTGATATTATATTGAGCATTTCAAATACGTATTAGTCGAAAATTTTAATGAAGTACAATTATTGCAATTTGGGAAGGGCCAAATAATCAATTTAAAAGAATTACTTATTAAAATTATAATTGCCCAATATCGTTTTCGATGTTCACTTCAAAAATACAATTGCACCAATTTTTTAAAACTGAACAACCGATTCTTAAACTTATAAACGTACCTTTCAGATCAAACGAAAATGAATCAAAAAATTCTGTTACGTTTAACGCCTCCAGCAAACATCCGAAACTGGAAGAAAAAGAGAAGAAAACGTCGTGCTTTCGTGTTCGACCGTTACAAAGTTTTTGACATTTAAAATTGTTCTTTGGGCGATTGCGCAATGGGAAATTTTATGTGATTGGTTCATTGGTTTTTGGTATAGATGCATAGAGGTATAAAATAATGTAGATAACCATAGATAATAGGTAGGTATAACCAGGATCGGACTTTTAATATTTTGAAAATAATTCTTATTCATGTTTGACACAAAAAGTCCATTAACATTTTTCTTTGCACTCAAAAATGAAAATAGAATGTAAAGTAGGATGTCTGTGTGAAGTTGGTAAATGAATTTTTTTTTTCTACATTTTATGGATAAGAAAACTTTTTCGGCTACTATGATGTGCACCGGTCAACGACTCAGCTCAGTACTATAATGGTACTATCTCAGTGCTCTTAGTAGTAAATTACTAAGTTTACTAAAGACTTAGTTCGGCCTAACACGCCTATTACGAATTCAAATGTTTAGTATGAAATAGCAAATAAAATTTTCGTTTCACTTTTCCTTATAAATTTTAAATCTTTGGTGTTATGTCCATGTAATGCAACTTCAATTTCCTTCAACATGCTCTCCTTTGTTACTAATAACAGTCATATTACTCCATTTTACGTCGTCAAAAGCAACAAAACGTTTTTCATTCAACTCCTTTTTCATCCTATGAACAAGAGGAAGTCTAAAGACCTAAATCTCGAAAATAGGGCGCATGGATTTATTAATGTCAAAAAGTTTACAATTCTTTCGATCTCCTAGTAGAAGTCTGAGCACAAGCTGTATTGCCTCTCTTCACAACTCAAATCAACATCAAGATGCACATGAACATACCTGAGGATTGAATAATTTCCGTTGAATAATGAAAATTATTAAAAACGTCCTTAAAACATGTTCAATAGTATGTTTGTATCTTTATCAGTTAATTATGTAAATAAGTTAAAAAAAAAAAAAAAGACAAAATTAATAACAGTAATGGTACATTTATTGGTCTTATTTTTCCCTATCTGTTATACATTTTTCTACATATTTTTTTTTTTTTTTACAAATAATGGTCCATACTACTATCACAGATTTTAAATTATACCGAAATTATAATACATTTATCGATTCTTGATGCCCACAACCCTTTCAATCGCAAATCAATTTCACAATTCACTTTCTCGCCCTTTTGTTCCGCCATTGTGTTGCAACGCAATGTGATCAATCGTGCGTCTTACCATGCACACAGACGCATACACATTACATTTAAAAAATAACCATCTTTATAACATTATTAACGGGTACACCCATCACACGAAGCTTTATTCATTTATTTATATAGTTTTTTGTTAATTACAACAATTCCTTATGCCGGTGGTTGCCGAATCAGCTCGACAACGTATCTTGTTCTTAATATACAATATATAAAATTACACATCACGTAGTAAATCTAATGCAATTTTCACTGCTATGTATATTTTTGTTTAACACAGAAAATGTCGGTAAGCAATAAAAATCCAATACTTTAAACATTATATACAAATACGTCGAACATATGCGAAAGATAATAAAATTGAGTTTACTTTAAGCTCGGATTCTTACTTTAAAAACTGAATAAATTTTTATTTGCATTTGCAATGTATATACATACATGCATGATAATAATGGAAGAAGCGTACTACCCATATGATAAATTGTATCGTACATAATACTCCCGTTTTAATTTGGATTCCTTGCGTGGCTGATGCGATTAAGGCGATAATTTTGCATGACCCACTCGCTGTTTTCCTATTAAAACAATATAAAATTCTGGGAATTCTTGGTTTCATAATTATGCGAATCCATTTTCTACATAATTATAAAATTCATTTTCAATTAAATATTGTCGGGGTTCAATAACTTATATTAAAATAATCTATTGCAAAATCGCACTCACCGTAAATGAAAAAATACTAACAGATATTCAAAAAATCGACATTAGAAAAAGAAGTTTTTAAATAAAACAACTGAATAAATAAAACGTACATAACAATTGTATGATAAGGCATTCGATAACGATATTTCCGTTAGTCATAGAAAAACGCCAAAACAAGAAGAACTAAAAGAAAATATTCAGTTTGTCCAGTAGGTATCTTATTTTGGAAAAACCGAGAACCATTAAATTTGTTGTTTTATTTAGTTTGAAGTATTAGACGTACTGGGATAGTGGAACATTGTGCCGCTCGTGATGCCGGCAGAACGGATGGCCGGTTTTGGTGGCAATTTTGGGGTGACCTGTCCCGAATTCGACTCATTAATAAAGCGTGGAGATATATTCGACGGTTGAACAGGAGCACTAAAAATAGTAGTAAATTACAGAAAAAATTATTATTACACATTTTTACTTATTTAAAACTGTTTTTTTATATTTCCGTTAAATATTATAAACAATAAAGAAAGTAATTGCTACCTTGAAGCGCCGTTGGTGTAGCTCAAATTTCGAGGAGGAAGGTGCGGATGCAGCGTTGATTGCCTTCTTATGTGCAACTGGGACGTGTATGTTGGATTTAATCTTGGCAACGTATTGGGAGAGAAATTTAAATTCTGAGAAGGATACGGCAGGCTGTTGTGATGAGAATTTGGGGAAACGGTCGCCTCCCTTCGCGGTGGTAATGGCGGAGGTGGCGGAGAAATTTCTTTCGAAGAAACGGCAAGCTTCGCCTAAACAAATATAACGTACATATGAATAAATGTTATTATTAATTACTAATTTCTACTTCTACGTGGAACGTTTCCTTTACCTGATGAGGAGAACTTATTTCGACGCTATCTCTTCTTCGTCGCGGCGGTAATGGAGGTGGTGTCGAAGACAAACAAGGACTAACGGGATCGATGGTTGGTAAAAATGGGCCAGGAGATGATGGACTATGAGGGCCGGGACTGCTAGGGCCGCTGGTGCCGCAGTAAGTGGGCGACTGATTGATCTTTTGCTGTTGGCTAAAGATAGAAAATTATTAAGAACATTCATCAATACATTTTAAAATGTTTATATTAATAAACTAGCTTTTAACCGTGTCTTCGTATCACCCGGCAATGTTAATTCCAGTTGTTTAAAATAAATATGTACAATTGCTCTAGTCAATAAATAACTAAAAAAATGTAAACTGTATATTTTAAAGAAAATTACTTAATGTTTTAGGAACTTCATTGAATATAAGCCTAGCCATGTTTCGGTTTATTAAACTAGTAACGATTTCACTTCTATTACTAAAAAAAAGTAGAGTACATAGTTCGTTCCTGACACCACCTCTTTATGTCTGTAAAGTCCCATCGAAATGGGTTCGGCCGTTTCGAAGATTATCTCGCAAAGAACGACAAAATATTTTTTGAAGGGTCGTTTCTCTATCTTACGATTAGTTAAATACAAATAATCATATGAGCTTAAAAAAATGCAGTTATTTCGATATTACACATAGACACTTCAAATTTATATTTATAGGTAAAGCAAATAGAAACAAAATTTGTACTCTTTGTCGATTTCGTATGTCAATTTAACTCCCTTCGTACATTTTCGTTGCCATTTCCGCGACAAATGTTTTTTTTTAGAACATACTACCTTCGTTATAAAAATTTCACTTGAAAACGAAAAGAAAAGTTACATGTGGGGAGGAGCGGGGGCTATTCCGCCAAGGTTGCCTCCACTAACAAACATAGAATCGACGCGTGGATTGATTGGAGGTGGAATAACGAATGAGGAACTGCGAAATGACGCAGCCGACACGATCGAACTAACGCTAGGGCTCCTACTGTGACTGGGTTGGAACCAATTAATCAAAGGTGTTGCAGCTGCTGGCGATATTGGGCTTAAAGTGGGACTATTCTGACCTCCGCTGTTTGTCGGTATCTGAACCTACATAACAATTAAACAATTTATTATTGTAACTGTTGATGTTTCTTTTAGCAAAATACACATGCAAAAAGTAATGATAAAAGAAATCAATTGCGATTAAGCAACGTAACCATTTTTTTGCAGAAGATAACTTGTTCTAACTACAATCATTATATATTATGAATATTTCACTTAATTATGCCACAAAATGATAATAAGAGTGCTTTTAACATTAGAATGTAGTTGGTTACCTGTGCAAAAACGCTGAAGTCATTATCCGACTTGGTACCGCCAATGTCGTCCGTCGCTTTAACACTCACTGCTTCTTCTTGTTTTGTGGTCACAACGCCGGTGACATTTGGAATATTATTGGCGGTACTTTGAACGGACTGTTGATTCTGCGAAAGTGGAGCTGTAGTCGTTGTTGTGGTCATTGTAGATAAGGTCGACATTGGACCTACCACCGCAACTGCCGTCGCCGTTGAAGAAGAGGAAGAAGAAGCAGTCATTCGTGTGATTTTCGTTTTTATGCCTGGACTTTTTAAATTTAAATTTGGCCATTTTCGTGGAAACTTGGGCAATTGACGACATTGACGTGGCTCAATTTCCATCGATTTATTATACAAGTAGTTACTAATGTCCGTATCGTTCATATCACCGAAAGGATTTAAATTTTCCAAGAAATGCTAATGAGTAAATAAACGATTACATATTATATATATATAGGTGTACTCATATGTGGATTACAAAATACTCACTCTAATTTTCGGTTCAACGCTAAAGCAGTAGGGTTGATTTTGATATTGTTGAATTTCGCCCGTAATGTCCGCCACTTTTCGTCTTTTAAAGAAATTTATCAGTTGAGTGTTGGGCAGAAAGTCAGGATTACCTTCTTCTAGGTGCAAAATGTTAGTCAAGTAGAGTCCCAAGAAAGGCACGCAAGGCGGATTTATCGACCTGAGTTTCTCCTGATATCTCTTCAAGTGGTCGTCCGTTTTCCAGTCTTCAAATATTTTCTTTTGGTTTTGGGGTAAAGCCTGTAAAACGGGCATTATTTAAACAACATGATACAATAAATGATAAATTCAATCGACAACGTACGTTAAATGTAAATTTTAGACGATGAACAGAAGCAGAACTGAGAGCCGACACGAAAGCTAAAACTGCATTGAAATTGTTCAAATCTTGCAGAACCATCATTATTTCGATTATTCGACTCAAAACCGCCACCCTTTCTTCAAAATTGTCTGTTTCCACGATATTTTTTTCGAGCCATCGGGTTACCTACGTGAATAAAATATTGTCTTTTAATTTTACCAAAATCGAAATAAATAAAAAGAAAATTACCGTTGTGGTGTATTTCATCATACGAAGTAGATTAGGGCTCGTCACTTCTTTTTCTTTTTTCGTCCACACAGAACCGACCAGTTCAGAGGGTTTAACGGTTCGATAAATATCAAATTCGAGAAGAGTCAGTTGTCTAGCAATTTCCACAGGATGAAGAGTTAATATTCCGTACTCCTCTTCGGACACCTGATGATGCCATTCTATGGGAGGTGGCAATTCGTCGAACGCAAACTTTATATGCCTCTGGTTGTCGGGCTCCGACTAGCATACGTCAAATTAAAATTTACTGCTCAACATTTAAAATTTATCCACCCATACCTTTCTCTGAACAATTTTTAGAACGCTATCGACCCACTTCTTCATACTCTTTCCATTAACGGATTCGAGGAACTCGTGCAATTTTTCCAAAAGGCTCGGGTCGCGCTCGAAATCGTAAAAGTGATGATCGACCCAATGTCTCAAAACATTCAACACTCTAAAAAAATACCAAAAACATCAATAGCAATATATCGTAATTTATTATAAAAAGGCTATGACTTTCCTCGGCGTTACCTGGAAAGGATTGGATATTCGGACTTGATAGCCATGGTCCAGGATTAATTCTTCAGCTTCGGCGATTCCACGAATGACACCGACCGAAGGAAGAAAAGCCAATCCTGAGCCACCGCCATTATTTTATTTTACTTTATATTGTAAATATTACCTGAATTGTACCGGTTGACAGTACTCCTTTCGGTAACGTTTCCAATCTTCACGTTGAGAATAGACCATAGACGGGTCCGGTATATTGAACCGTTCGATGAGTAAAGCCAAAAGATCCGAAGGAGCGCAGAAACTGCGAAACGTTGTTAGAAATGTGCGAACAAACTTCGGATCCGCGTAAATGTGATACGTTAATCGTTCAACCAATTTATACAAAGTGGCTCCCTAAAATAATAATCGAAAGATAAAATGAATAATGAAGAAAGATAATTTTGTTATTACTTTTATAAGAGGAACTCCGCCGTTCTCTCTCTGTTCCAATATTATATTGTCTTTGGAATCTGGTTCGGCAAATTTGTAAATTTCAGGAGAGGGCAACTTCAGCGGATGTTTCCGCTCGATGTCCGAAAGAATACCGTCCAATATTCGTTCGAGCATTGAACGTGTATTCAGCATGACGAGATCGGCCATCCATGAGTTTTTGTCTTCGGCGTTTTTCGCACACAACGTGACGGCTGGCTGTATTCTAGGCGATATTTCGAACGAATTCTTTAATTCGTCAGTATCCGAATGATCAATTATTTCGACTTTTCGAATAAAAAATCTTTCTTTAATTCGACATTCGGGATGACTGAGATGAACCGAACTTTGTCGTCGCGAATTTGGTTTGCACAATATCATCAGACCGTCAAATAGAAACACTCGTCTGTCTGTCAGTCTCTTACCCGAACTCACTTTTAACAAAACATCCTCTGNTAGTAATTATTATAAAAGATTAATATTTATAATGTTAAAAATTAGTCAAATTTATTCGAAAATACCGCAGAAAGCTTCTATTGTACAACTGTATCAATATTTGCGACAATATGCGTCCGCACCCGTTTCTGCTGTTTCAAAACTTCAAGTAAAGTCGCATGAAACGCATATAGAAGGCAGTTCTTCGACAAATTTAAAAGTCAGTAAAATAACATCAAAAAATCCACTAGTTGCAGCAGCATTTGCATCCTTGGGTTCTAAAGCAGTTGAAGAAATAAAAACTCCAAGAACGGACGAACGAATTAAAGGTGCACAGACTGTTGAAGAATTACTAAATTTGTCAGAGGGAAGTGGTTTGTCGAGAAGATTTGCTTTAAAAATAGTATCAGTTTTAGCTGACTGGTGTACAGATGATAAAATTCAGTTGTCTGATTTTGATAGGGATCCCCGCTTTGTACGTTTATGTAAAGTTTTGACAAAAAAACCGAAAGCCAATTTGACACCTCACAATGAAGATTTGACTATGGTGGTAAATATAACAGCTGATGATGAAGCTGCTAGACTTATTAATGGTTTAACAATACCGCAAATGGTTCGTGTGGTAATGCTGTTGGCATCTAAGAAAAGAAGATCAGTTTCATTATTAAGGTCCATCTCTTTCAATATCTCACGAAGCCAAGAGCATTTAGATTTAAAGCAGTGTGCTGACCTTCTGTTTGGAGCAGCTTCATTAAATTATATAGACGACATTTTACTAGATAAGATTTGTCGTGATATTTGCAGTCAGTTAAAAGAAAATAAAAGAGGAAGTGCAGTCATTGGTTCTATATTAACAAGCCTTGGTTTAATTAGATATAAAGACCCAGTTGTGTTAGATGCAATAACTGAATGGGTTCTTTGTAATGCAGAAAATACCAGAGCCCAAGATGCTTTTGCCCTGTTTTTAACATTAGCAATCACTAATCATCGGTCTGAAAAATGGGAGAAGCTAAACACTGTCTTTGTTTCACAGTTATCACAGAAAGATGCACTCAAATTGTCAACATGGTTAGATTTTGTGTGGTCTTTGGTGGTTTTAGAACAGGCAACAGACAAACATATAGAATCAGTCTTAACCGACAGTTTTACTCAAAAAGTTGAAATAGAATTCCAAGTCCCACATAAACTAAAAATTTTGAATATCAATGCTGCTGCTAATTTACTGTACAATGATTACAAAGGATCAAAATTAAGTGATTCTTCAAATATATATAGTGCAGTTCCATTACAATCCAAGAACAAGAAAGCCCTTGCAGCATCCATCATTGAGACGTTAGGTAATCTTTTTCCACTTGAAACTTATCTAAAAACTAATGTAAATACAGGATTAGGATTACTTATCGAAGGAGAATGCTTGATAGACAGAAAGGGGAATCCTCTTCCCTTTAATAAGAAGTCAGATGAATGTATTAGAGTAGCTGTAGTGGTGTATGATTTTCATGATATGTGTAGAGGAAAAATCGAACCGACTGGAATGCATCATTTATTTGAAAGGTTACTACATGCTGAGGGATACAAAGTACTTGCAGTTCCATACACCGAGTACAACCCTCACGATAAATTGGTCCAGAGGATACAGTTTTTAAAAAACAAATTTAAGGCAATTACTTGATTTATTTATTAAATGAAATCAGAAATATAGTATGATTGCTAAATTAATATTTTTAATGAAAACACCATAAGAAATACATTACAAAAAATTGTTTAATTAAAATTTACACCGTCGCGCTTATTTATTATTGTTGCTGTTGTAAAATAAAAAATACCTTAAAAGTGCAATTTTGTCGTTTATTTAATCTATTTATTTTAATTATAACTTGACAAATGAAATTTATAAGGAATGCAAAAGCCAACATTATTTTCGGAAGCAGAATTGTTATTTTTTTTTTTTTAATAATTAAATTTCTAAAAAGCTTGTAATATTCATGTAAATAATGAACATTTGAAAAAATGAAACATAAAATTCTGAAGCCTTTTAACCTTTAAGACTACTCATTCCCGCTCTCATTATCTCGTCGACAAGAAGGAGATTACTGGCAATAACTGAACAGGAATTGATAATCTGTTTTTTTACAACATAATTATCGAAAATCCCGGCATCTTTCGGATTAATCGGTTCGCCTGATGTCAAATCTAATCCAATGGGTTCAGGATTTACTCGGGATTCCTCCTGTAGTTTAACTATCGTATCCTGATGATGATAATGAGTGATGTACACATTCAATACATGTGAAATTATAGAAAAATTTAAAACAAACCTGAGCATCATATCCGGAATTAACCGCTAGCACTTTAGGAATAATAAGAAGAGCTTCAGCATATGCTGCAATCCCTAGGCGTGCTTTTCCTTTTACTTCGTCTTTATATTCCATTAATTCTTTGTATGTAGTTATTTCAAAGGCCCCAGCACCTAAAATAAAATACCTATTTTACAACAATTTCCAAGAGAGTATTTTAAATCTTACCCGGTATAAGCGCCTTATCTTCAACAGCATTATTGATGGCTCGCAGACCGTCGCGGACGGCGTCCTTAATTTGTGCTAAGGTATGTTTATTAGGACCTTTCATCAGTATCGTTACTGAATGTGGATTTTTGCATTGCTCCACAAATGTAAATTTGTTTTCACCCAAGACATGCTCGTAGACCAAGCCAGCAAATCCCAGATGTGATTCGTGCAAATCATCCAAATGATTCATGGCAACGCCTCCGCAAGCCAACGCCAATCGTTCCATGTTGCGTCGCTTTGCGCGACGAAGGGCTAAAATGCCTACAAAAAGACAAGACTATGAAATAAATGAAAAAGTAACTCAGTAGTGGTGGGTAGAAAACATGTGCCCGCTAAGTAAAGTTTGCAGTGGTAAACCGCCCATTTTCAGTTATTTATTCACCTTCTTTTGCAAGCATGTCAAGACTAAAGGGGTCGATTCCCTTCTGATTGATAACAACGAAAGATTTATCAGTACCATCACATAATTTTTTCTTGAGAGCAATTACTTTCTTTACCCGCTGATCAATGAATTCTCTTTCTGCTGACACCAACTTTTCCCTTTCTTCGGCCGTTTTATAGAAAAAGCCAGAATTGACTTCGCTCTTTTCGTACTCCATGCTCACATTACATGTTAATATGTACGCATTCTTTACCTGCTTTGGCATATCCGGATGACGGGCGCCATGGTCCAAAACAAGTCCTTAAAAAATAAGTATAATAAACCAATAATTACATGTTTATGTTCATCAAATTAATTACCTTTTACAAGTTGAGTGTCACTTGCAGTTTTGTGTTGCATTTCCATCAATTCAATCATATGTAAATCGACAGGTTTATCTTCTTGGCGTATAGCTAATATGGCATCTACACAAACATCTGTCAAGATATCAGCTAAAATTGGATGAACCTGCAGAATAACAAGTTAATTCAGAATTAATTTATTATAGTCACTAAAATTAAAAAAAAAAAAAATGCACTTTATAATTTCATTTTGATAAAACTTTCATATTTCAGTTTTTTCGAAAGCATTTCCTTTTTTTTTAAAGACTGAAAAAGGTTCAGTTATGAAATATCCACATGAAAAATTTTCAATTTTCTTTGTGAATATTTGAAAGGTAGATAACCTCTTATGTAAATTAGCTTACTTTTGTTCTGAGACTAGTTCTTGCAATATCCGTAAGATTTTCTTTATTTATTATAATGGGAATTTTGATTTTATCTAAAATTTGTAAAACTTTCTGTCTTGCCATATCAAAACCTTCAGTGATTATTCTTGGATGTACGCCTTCAGAAACATAAATGTCAGCCTGCTTTAAAAGTTCTCCAATTAGTAAAACTGTTGAAGTTGTACCATCTCCGGTAATATCATCCTGAGCAGTTGACGCTCTAGCAATTAGAGAAGCCGTGGGATGCTGTATTTGCATTTCATGAAGCAAAACATTACCATCTTTAGTTATCTTAATGTCACCGGCTCCTGATACCAGCCTTATTATAAAACAAAAAAAATTATCTATTAAGTAAAATCCCTATAGTTTTGTTGCATTTATTTATAATGGAAAAATGAAATTGCAGAAACATGTGCTTACATTTTGACAGTTCCTTTGGGTCCCAAATTACTTTTCATCACATCTTGAATTCCTTTCGCTGCCGATATATTCACAGCAAGAGCTTGAGCTGCTCTAGCAACCTCAGCTTTGGGATTCAATAAACTTATTGCTGCCATTTTTAATAAATCTTGCAAGTTTATCAATAAATGTTCCTCCTGGTAGGATTGAAACAAGAAACAATTCGCCCAGGGTTGCCAAAGCGCATCACCGCTGATTTTCTTATTTCCAAATTCTTTATCGAAATTTCCCTACATCTTCCCGACATGCTGACAACCATAATAATCTTAGAATTCCCTACTCATTTTTCTCATATATTACTCATGTGAAATAACTGATCGGTCCGACGTAAAGGCCAATAACTAAAAATAAATTCGAATCTTAAAAATATAATGCAAATTATAAATATTTTTTNTTCGATTACTTACTTCACATGTAGTACCGAAAATTTGTGCACTTCGAATGTAAGAAGTTAATAAAACGAAATTAATTGGTCCGGTATTTTGGTAAGAGTAATAAAAATAAAAAAGTAGCTATGGGCGCCCCACTTGAAAAGGCTCTGGCGGGTCATGAAATCGTCAAAAAGTTTAAAAACATAGAAACAAAGCAAATTAAACCCAAATAGGCTTACAGCTATTGAAAATCTGCGCCTTTAGGAAAAATCTTGCTACACCCATGATAGTAACTAGTAAATAATACCTAATACAAGAAACTAATAATGTAAAACAAATGCAAATAATTGTTTTCTTCTTAGTTTTCTTAGTACATTTAACACATTATTACAGAATAAGTTCTTTCATTTTCAATTTTTTTGGAAATCTTCACTGTTGTTTTTACATATTTATAAATTAATCATTATTTATTAATGAATCATATGTTACNAAATATTGGGAAATTTTTTCCTAAGTTTGGCAACCCAGGCCGTTGAATCTGTAATTTAACCAAACTGTAAATTTAGTAAATGTAGAAAAAGAAAAACTCTTAAATATTTGCTAATGTGAGTACTTTTAGTAGTGAAGTAAGGATAGCATAATATTTAATTAAATAGGAATATGGCTAAAATTAAACCCAAATGGAGCGATCAAAAGGAACAGAATGGTCTGCTAAAGAAAATAGTTCAAAAAGAATTTCTGTGTGATTTGTTAGTAAAACCGCAATACTTAAAGTATACATGCTTATTTCTAATAATTTTTGAAGTATTTTTAAATATGTTTATAATTGAAAATGTACGATATACAGAAATAGATTGGATAGCTTACATGCAGGAAGTGGAGGGTTTTTTAAATGGTACATTTGATTATAAACAACTTAAAGGTAACGTATATTGCTTTCCTACTTTCCGTTTCAATAATATAGTATTAAGAATAAAGGATTTTAATTCTGCAATAAATATAGGAACATAAATATGTTTTATAAACTTATTCTTTATTAATTCATTTTTAAGGTGACACAGGCCCGTTGGTGTATCCGGCAGGATTTGTTTATGTTTACTCACTATTGTACTACTTCACATCACATGGAAGGAACATTCATTTGGCACAATATTTATTTCTATTAATCTACATTGGGCAGTTGTGCCTGACATTTAGAATTTATTTGAAAACAGAGAAAGTGCCTCCTTATGCATTGATAATAAGTACATTGACTTCCTATCGAATTCATTCTATTTACGTGTTGAGATTGTTCAATGATCCAATTGCCGTCCTCCTTTTCTATACCAGTTTAAATTGCTATATATCAAACAAATGGCGTTTAGGAAGTTTATTTTTTTCACTAGCTGTTTCGGTCAAAATGAATATCTTATTGTATTCTCCATGCCTGCTGTTAGCATTTTTAACTAATTTGTCATTGTGGGAAACAATACTGAATCTATCTGTATGTGGCTTGGTTCAAGTGGTTTTGGGTGCCCCATTTTTGTATAAAAATTATTTGAATTATATAAGAGGAAGCTTTGATGTAGCAAGAGTATTTGAACATAAATGGACAGTCAATTACCGGTGCGTTTTTATTCTAATGTTCGTTCTCATTAAAATTACCCACTGATTACTTAATTTTTGTTATTTTACAGATTTTTGTCAAGGCAAATTTTCGAAAGTCATCAATTTCATATAGTTTTGTTGGTGATTCATGTCGTTCTGTTGTTACTATTTTTTAAATGCATGAGGCGTTATTTATCGAATTATGCAAAGCTGAACTACGTATTTCAAGAATTAAAGGCTCGATCAGAAAAGTCAAATAAAAGACCTATTCGAAAACCTCAAAAAATCGTTTCAAAGAGTAAAAAAGATGAACCATTAAACAGAGATCAGAAAAAGTTCCTCGAAATGTACGAAAAGGAGTTGAGCCATCGAAAAAACAGGGTTTTAGATAATAATGAAGCCGACAAAGAAGATGAATCGGATAAAATTGAAGTAAATTTTGGGAAGATGTGTCAATTAATCGTTTTGCCATTTTTTGTAACAAACTTAATCGGAATATCATGTGCCAGATCGTTGCACTATCAATTTTATAGCTGGTACTTTCACAGTTTGTTGTACTTGGTTTACTGTACAGGATATAACAAATCAGTTATGTTTCTTATTCTAGCGGTTATTGAATATTGCTGGAATACGTATCCAAGTACAATTATTTCTAGTTTGTCGTTACATTTTAGTCATGTTGCTTTATTAATTGGTGTTTATAGGTACATGAACAAATAGTATTTGTACATTTTTTCGAATACCGATTGGAAAGTAAAATTACTGTTACGGATTGTTGAAAATAAATTTTTTAATGTTTATTTGATGATCCTCATTAATTAAGTACCTTTTTCTCTTATCTGATGACAATAGTTAGCAAACACTATAACTGAGAACATAAATAAGCAATTATTAATCTCGATCAAATTGCCACAGTATGTAGCGTAACAGTTTTATTACATCTTTCTATCACATTTACTCAATAAATTAATTAGTTTACATGCCAACTTTAAATTTCAATAGTCATATTACTTAAAGCGAAACTTGCTTAAAGTTGTTGGATTTTTAAGTAGTTTCTATGCAAACATGTATATGCAGTAGATGTTTGTGTAACGATAAAAAAAATGATAAAAATTCACTTCTAGCTTCAATCGTGTACTTAAATACGTAACGTATATGCACATTCATTTTGCATATACATAGAATGTGTGTACTATATAAATATATTTCTAAAATTACATCAAAATTTAATATCAGTGGCATACAGCATAATGGTTGAAGCTAAGTAAGAGGAATTACACGGTTTCCTATATTTAAAACGAACGTAAGTAATCCATGTGACACATATTATACTGTACCTCACAAGCAGATAAATTAAATATGCAAAACATTATAGGTCGAGTTAATGCTGAATGCGCTTATTGGATCGATTCATTTTTAAGTTGAATGTATATGATTTAGACGAAAGCGCGTTGTCACGACGATCGAGGCTACGCCCGACGTTCTAAAAACCCGAAACAGAATGTAAATTCTTAAATACAGCGAAAGCTTTTATGAAATTATTTAGATAGAATTTTAGTTACCATTTCAACATGTAATAAGTACTAGAGGCAAATTTATTTAACGATTTAAATAAATATAATAATAATAATAATCACCCTATACTTGCATGAATAGTTTGACCTTATCAAAGTAATATTTCCGTTCCGTTTTTTTACATTAAATAAGTTAATTATTATTTTTAATTAGAAAGCGCGAAGACGACAAGCAATTTGAATCATACAAAAAAAATATTAAGAAAACGTGCATGGTTTAAAATGAAATTAGAGAAAGGGGAGAGAGGGCGCAATATGAAAATGTAACACTTAAAATTACATATATGTTTACACTAAAAAGTTCTAAGGGACCTTTAAATATTGTTGCATTATAATTTATAATTAGATACCTATATGAAAATCTAATGAAAATAGTAGAGTATGCATGCTGTGTTTGTTGCAATATTAAGTGTTGTTATTATTATAATAATTTTTTTTATTGTTGTTACTGTTATTGTTATTAATCTATGTAATATATGCATAATTAATCGACTAAAAGAAAGGAAACGTTGTATCTATGCTAGGTCACAATTAGTCAATATTTTAAAGGGGGAAATAATGCAAGGTCTGGTCGAAAATGGGACAAGACAAGAAACAGTTAAACGATTTGTTAACGCTTGTCCTACACAACTATGAGTAGTTTAAGACCCTAATTTTCTCCCCATCACCACTGTTGTTTCTGTTCGAATGTTTTTGCTGGGGAGTTTGTCATACCTGAAAATTAAGCTGATTTAAACGTTACGGTATATACTAAACTATCAAATCAAATAGAAAATTATAGAGGAGGTTACTAACTATATGTCCACACTTCATGAATCGATTGTACACTCTACGAGTGTGAGGTTTTTTACATTTTGTATTTGTTTTTCTACGTTATTCAACATTTTTAAGTATAAAGGCTTCCAAGCAGTGTAATTAGAAATGCCAAAGGAAATATAAACTTAATATTAAGAAAAAGTATGGCAGCTCCCTATCTCGAAGGAAATGTTGAAATTTTGAAATATAAAAATCGAAAAAGTTGCAATGTGACTTTCTGGAATTGTTCGATTAGCCTTGATTCCTCGCTATGATTAAAGCCGAAACCAGACTTATTCGAAAAGAATTGCCGTTCAATTGTTTCCTTTAAGTAATCATTAACCCATTACTCTATATCACAAGATAGAATAACCTGAAAAAAAAGTAAATTTGAAATTACACCAAAACGAAGCGCTCTCAGAAAAACCTCTAAGAGACGTTTTACGTTCCGAATTAAGTGTACTATCGATTTCTGAAGTGCAGACATAAAGTAATGAACACCCGATACACTACCATTATCCTGGTTAAACGATAAATATATTGAGTTTTATTTCAGTTGCAGTTTTTTTATCAAACTTAAAGCGACTAATTTATCACAATGATTTATAAATAAAAAATTATTAATTAATCACCTGGAGTGTATACAGGAACGTCTCCTTGATTAAGTGCTGCATTTTCGTCGAAAGCAGGGGGCGGCATGGGCATGGCAAAAACTGGAGCAGTTTTTTTAGATGGAGATGGTTGAGTTGTTACAGGAGACGATCTATTGGGCGAGTCTCCTCGAGCGGCTTCTTCGTCCGATATATCTTCCTGAAATCAACAAGCGGTTGCCTCTATAATATTTTACAAATATATATTTCATGTACTTATTCCTAAATTTATAATTCGTTTCAATAAGCAAGAATGCCTTGCAAAATCAAATTGATCGATTTATTTCTTCTAAAACTTATTCAACAACGACAGAAAAGCAAAATATTTATTAAAAACTATGTTCATAATCAATTTCCTTTCTGCTTCGATAAAAACAACAAGGAACACGAAACGAACAGAAGAGCATTTTTTCTCTCCGTACCTTTCGACAATTACACTTACCCTATTTCTAGGGGGTTGGGACGTGATCGGCATACTGCCCATGGCGCTCTGTTGATTCTCTCGCTGAAAACATTAGCTACATCAGAAAGAAATAAAAAAAAAAAATAAAACAATGAATGTAAACCACGGATAAAAAAACTGAAAGAACACTAAAACGTAAAAATGATTTCGATGAATTTAAATAAAAAAAAAATTAAAAATGTAACAAACGACCGGTCGTTAAGTAGCTACTGTATTATAGGGAGTAGTGATTGGTGCAAAATAAAAAATACTTACACTACTTTCTAGTTATTTCTCCTTCCCATCACGACATTTGTACTAAATTTTTGAATAATCACACGCAAATTTATATATTTGTCAATTTACCTTACCTTCTCTGCACACCTTTTCGGGATTGGAAGTGTTGGATCATTATTTACAAACCAGAAATGTACTAAACTACGTAATTGTTAATGAGATTTATAAAGAAAACACAAAAGAGAAGCCAAATACTTTACATTGTATAAGCGACATTGAAGAATAAGGATGTTATTAAACTTACATTAAGTGTATGGTAATCCCCGGTATCTTGCGGAGGTCTCGGTTTGCACTTGCCACAACAGAAATTGCAACAACAACACAAACAACAGCAGCAGTAACAGCATGTTACTAACCCACAGACCACGAACAAAACCTGAAATAACGAAAAACAAAAATTATATTGAGGATATACAATTCATTGTCACTATTATCATTAGCAAAAATTTAACAGTTACACTCCTGCATGATTCTCAATAGCTTTTGATAATAGAAAGACGAAATCCGGATTTTTTAAAGTTTCAGTCAACTTTATTGAGTTCTAAACTGTTAATAAATAAAATAAATGTTGTACTTGTCCCGACAAATCTGCAATACCAAGCTCAAATCTTAAAAAACTTTTTTACATTCTCCATGTTGCAGCGGGTCACTTCATACACCAAATGTGAAAACAACTTTACGGGTTTAAATATGCGGTTTTATCTACAGGATATAGCTAGATATATCGTGAACAACAACATTTACAACCGAATATACTGCTTTAGATTTTCTATTGTTTTATTTATGGATTTTTGAGCTTCGTTGATCGTTTTTGCGGCGTCCTGTTTGACATTATGAAAAGCTATGTCGACCTCTTTCTTCATAGCACTGACAACTTCTGCTTCCACTTTATTTAACGTTTTGTTACGTATGTGGCGTTCCATTGCTTGTTGGGCTTCTCGTATTGTCTTAGCGGTGCTTCTTTTCACATTCTCGAAGGCCCTTTCGATCTCGCGATGTTTTTCTATCGTTCGCTTCAACGTCGTGTCTTGCATTTTCCTTTTAGCTTCTTCGAGGAATTGTTCCATCGATTTTCTATAGACAAGGCGTTCTTCCGGATTTGATAGCATTTTCTCTTTTTCACGAGTTCTATTTTTAAGACGGTTTATGGTATGTCGAGCATCTGCAACATTTTTCGTCGTTTCTCGTTTCATGCACTCGAATGCTTCGTTAATTTCCCGTCGCGCTTTCTCCAACGACACGTGCTGTCGATTTCTTTCATCATTATGAAAAGCAAATTCCATTACTTTCCTTGGAGACATCTTCTCTGACTGAAACTGATTATTTCTTTTTGTAACGCCACTATAATTGTTGGTCGTGGCAAGCTTTTTTTGCGGTATTTTACTTAACACTATTTCACACACTCTCGGTGTTGTTACTCTAATGGCTTCCATCGTCGATTCTTTTTCGCTGTTCTGCTTTTTTGTAGCGATTTTAGTTTTTTGTTTTAGAGAATCGTTCTCTTTTTCCGTCACTTCGCGTTTGGATATTTTAGAGGGGGGTGATTGTTTCCTTCTACCTATCAAACTACTTTGATTTGACAGAGGGAATTTACCCATTTTATTCGATGTTCCTTCAGTAAGATCGAATTTATCGATTAGATCTGAAGCTCCACCGATGGAACTGTTTGTGGAGTAAAAGGACGTCTTCGCATCTTTTATATCGTCTAAAGATTTACGAAAAAGTCCTTTCGACATGCTGATTAAGTTTCCCGTTCGTTCTTTAAACTTGCTTATCATTGTATCAATTTCGTTATTGAAATCAGGATCAATACGACTGTTTACGTTTTTGGGAATCACTGACGAATTTGGAGAGTAAGATGGAATGGAATGTGAAGACGGATATACAACGTCTATCAAGTTTTCATCTCGCACGTCTTCAGATCTAATTTTACATTTTGACTTTGTGGTTGGCTTGAACTTATCCTCATCTTCATTGTTCCCTTCAAATAGTTCCTTTGATGAAGACATCACGTTCTCGGTCGTTTTCCGAAATTTCGACAAAAGTAAATCGATTTCTTGCGAGAAGTTATCCATTTTTTTTTTTAATTGTTATATGTTCATGAAAAAAACTGAAAATTTTAATGACAAATACTAATGGTTTGACATTAACTGTAGACGACAAGTTGAATGAACGTTAAATTTGACAATTTCAATCTCTACGAGACGGTTAAATGAAGGTTTCCATGGTTTATACTCCACATTTTTAGAAGTATTGGTTAACTACAATTACAAATAAAAAATATTAGATGAGAACATTCGTATCTAACACATAATAAGAAATAAAACTGAAATGTAACTCAATAACTTAAAACAAGACAATTTCATAACCAAGAGTTTAGAAAACGTTAGATAAGATTATTCGATTACTTACTTCACATGTAGTACCGAAAATTTGTGCACTTCGAATGTAAGAAGTTAATAAAACGAAATTAATTCTGTCAGGCATTTGATGTATATACGTACATATATCATCAAAGGTAAATTAATAAAGAAATTATTATATAACTGCAATGAAATTATTTATCAGTTGACCCTTAAACTGTACATAATATGTTTATTAGAATGTGCAGTTTACTTTTAATTCATTAAATTAGATACAACATATTTAGTTTAAAATTAATTTATGAAAAATAAACGTTAAGTATTTGTGTTTATTAAATTAAACATGACTTTTGGTCATATATCTATAATTTAATTAAAAATGGGTCATCACATCAAACAAACAAATTCATACATGTATTCCAAGAATCCAATGACAGATAGATAAGTAAACTGAATAATTAGATACATGTGCTATGCATTCATTTTGCAACATCGCAATAACTAGGTATTTAACTTATTAGCAGGGAGGAATGCATTAGTTCAATTTTTAATTTAACACGATACTGTGAAGGGATATACAACTTGAAGATAATTAGAATTAAAAAAGAATTACATACTCCAATGATTAATTAAACTACAGTTAACAAGGCCTAAACATACCTTGCACCATGTTGAAGTAACAACAAAGTAAGCATTCACATTCTCTTCACCAAATTGTTCTGCAATGTATAAACCTAAGCTACCATAATTGTCATAAATATTTCGTTTGGTAGGATCATTTAGAATTGAGTGGGCACGGTTGACTTCCTTAAATTTTTCAGCAGCATCTGGATTATTTGGGTTTTTATCAGGATGGTATTTCAATGCAAGTCTTCTGTAAGTTTTTTTAATGTCCTCTTGGGTTGCAGTTTTAGGTAACTGAAGAACCTGATATAATGAATCACCTTGTGTTCTATAATGAGAGCAAATTATGCATTAATATCTAAAAAAAAAAAAAAAAATATGACTCACGATAATTTTCTTTTAGGATGATCCATTCTGGTAGTTAGTAATATAACGCAGGTAGCAGGGAAAAATTCGTGTTCACCTTTTTATTAACTAAATATTTCACCCACAGAAACTAGCACATCCATTTTCATTTCTTTTAACAATTAAAAGGTGATTTATAGTAAACAACTAAATATTACAATCACTTTAAATTCCTCGTATTTGTTATCTCTGATAAAGACTTCCTTTTAAGTTTCATGTAATGTAAACGATTAACCGACATCTGTCAGTCATGTCCCATAGATTGTCATGCCAAAACACCCATAAATAGTGTAACGCTGTGAACATAGATAAGAATGTGATTATTGAGCATTGGAGTGTGCATTTCGCACTTCTATTTGGCGCCATCTGTTTCAACAATCAGAAAATATACGAAACGGATAACGTACATCGCAGAATTTTCCATGCATACAAACGAAGTTAATTAATCTTTTGTTAGTAGAATGTACGTAATTTTGAAGGTAATTTCTTTTGACATATAATTATTTATTTAGTATATACATATAAATAAATTCAATTCAGTTAAATGTAAATATTTATTTCTCTATGTGGGAGTTGTATCGAAACAGAAATTTCTTACAAACACGCAAGTAATAAATAAGTCGATCAATACTACATAAAAAATTATAATACTTGGAAGAAGAAACAGCTCCAACTATTTTTTTTCTGACAATGATGGAGTTTTATCGGTAAATAGTAATTAAAGCAATATTGTCACTTAACTTTTGCTGTCAGATGTAAATCTTGTTACTAAATGTTAACTAAATAGAAGAAAACGCCGCGCCCTTTTTATTTCTTTCTTCATTTTTTTAAATTAATTAAGAAAGTTGCACTTGCAACTCTGATATCTCCGTCGTCATTTCGTCCGGAAGATCAACGGTATTTTCAGTCTCTTCATATTTTTGTTCAAATTTCGTTTCGTGCAAGTCTTCCAAGTCTTGACCAGTTTCATCACCGTTGCCAGTATTTTCAGGATTCGCGCTGCTATCGACGCTATTCTCGGCATTCATGCCATCTGTGATACATATTTAAATCGTAAATATATAAATCAACCATTTCGTAACAATAGCCAGACAAAAAAGATAGAAAAAGATAGAAAATAAATCTAGGTACCGGCATTAGTATTATCCGTTTGTTGTTGATCTTGTTGCTGGATGGTCGAAATGATGGGTTTAGTACGTCCGTATTTTTCGTGGATGGCGCGATGTCGTTTCAAAGCGAACCGATCGGAAAAACCAACGCTACAAATGTCGCATTTGAACGGCTTTTCACCCGAGTGTACTTTGGCATGGTTTTTCAGATGTGTCGCTTGGTTAAAGCAAGAACCGCAAATATCACAACGATAGGGTTTCTCACCGGTATGAATGCGTCGATGATTCCATAGCGTCGAATGACGCGCAAACGACTTGTCACAAACCTAATTTAAAGAGAGTCAATCACAATATAATCACAATTTCAATATCGATAACATTTCATTTTTTATTATACGTAATAGGTAATTGAATGCATATCCTATGACATATCTACCTCACAAACGTACGGCCGTTCGCCGGAGTGTATCCTTTCGTGATTCTTTAAATGTGGGGATTGAGAAAATTGCATTCCGCAAACATTACATCGATAAGGCTTCTCCCCGGTGTGGATACGAGAGTGATTTTTCAAATATGCCGCTTTGGCAAACGCCAAGCCGCAAATGTTACACTTAAAATTCTTTTCTCCAGTATGAAGACGTTTGTGTGACCAGAGCGACGAATAACGGCTGAACGAACCTTAAAAAAAGAATTCAACTTAAAATTATTAATACTCACAGGGGATATACTAATACTAGCTACAACATTCATAAATGTTCGACATGGTCCGTATGGAAATGAATTTGTAGAACTGAACCCAGGTTTAGCAAGTCGTCCAATTGATGAAAACTATACCACACTTAAAAATTAAGTTAAGTTACTACTTAATTTAAATAGAGGGCCTATTCTAAATAAATATGAAATTCTAGAAAGCTCTTAAGACAATAAAAAAATTAGAGACGACAAAACTGATTTTGGTATTAACCCTTTGTTGGACCCGGACATTTTTTATTCTCGCTCTTAGACTTGTACTCTAAGTTACGTGTAATACTGTTTGCTATTTACGACTAGTATAATTGTTACTCTTAGGAATGCCCTTATAAGACAAAATACGTATCGAGTATCGAGTATCGGCAAATAATTTAGATTTATAGCGATAATAGAATAGAGTAAGCACGTCCCATGCAGCCCTGTAATTAGTGGTGAGACGTGAGATGAAAAATAGTAAGATCCCTCCTATCTCATTATCTAATAGTGCTTCTAATTGTCCGGCATAGCTGACTATCAAGTGAGCATGAAGCAAAAACAGCTACAGATGAGGGGCCTTTATTTTTTGTTTGTTTCTTTTAAGCAACATACTTCCGGTGATCTTACATACTCTTTTCTATTATAGGGATTAGAACATGTGTATATCCAAACAACAATATTCACTATACACCTAATGTTACTTCTAGTTATAATTAGCCGTGGCCGTTTTCCACAAAACGTGACGATTTCCCTCCTGGAGAAGGGGTTTTAGTAGGTAGGTATATCAACAAATCCGATACAACCCCCCTTTATGAGGGGTGTCTTTTGAAGATTTTCCCTCCTCAAGGAAAAACTAAACAAAAAAACGTGGTCGTTTCCCAATGTACAAACTCCGCCTAGCCCCCCACCCCCAGGTTTCAGCATAACATCACGAGTTTATTTTTATTATAATAGCACTATTTCATTACTAGTAATTATACAATTCTATTTAAATGTTTAATTGCTATACAATACTTTGTTTGAATTGGAAAAATAATTTTTACTTATTAAATTGTACTTATCAGTACATTTCCTTATATGTTACTATAAATGTAGTACAATGTTATAATACAATTTTATAATTACAGTATAATTTCAAGTACACAAGTTAAAAATGTACTTAAATAAATATAAATTAATGCCATTGAAGGTAGCCTCTGCAGATTATGTCTATTAGAGGGTATAAGAGAGGAAAATTTTTCAATTTTAACAATTGCTTGCTCAGTTTACTTTGACCATCTACTAAACAGTTTTTATTTTACACCCGAATGATATTGGAAGTTTAAAAAATATTACCAAACAATAGACCCCACGCGATTTTTTTGCTTTAACACACCCAGTATATGAACGTAAATACTACACATTTAAATATTTATTTAACTTTCGTATCCTTTAAAGACAAAAAACTATAGTTGTATACATTTTGGAGTTGTTTTTGTTTTTCTACTTCCGTTATAAATTTTCCTTGCACATGTCAATTAAAGGATTCTCTCAGATTTTTAATAACTATCTATGCACTTTTTAGAGATTAGCTCTAAATAATCTGTAAATTTTGAAGTCATTTTTTGAAACTTATTAACACTCATTTACATTTAACATTATCATACCGTAATGCCCGGGGGATCGCTTTTAAGAAAAATAGCAGCTTTTCAAAATGTCCAGAGCAGCTCGGACCATTTGATTTGAGCTTAACTCAAGTCATTTTTTATTTACAATTCATTTGTTTTCAACAACTGTAACAAAATATGTTTTCTTGTAGGTCAATTGTTATAGTTTAATATGCGGAAGTTTAAATGTTTTGTAACAGAGGTTTAAATATTTTTAAATTTGAAATCTATTGTTGTTAAATTTTGTTTTTTAGATAATAAAGCTTGCTTCAAAATTATAATTTGTAATTTTTCTGCAAAATCAACCGTTTATTGAATGCGTAAATTACCACGATTTTTTCAAATTCGTACAATTTATTAATATTGTTTCTTAGTTTTTTTTTTTTTGTTTGGTTTAGACGATAATTATTTGCAACTCTTACCGTTGCAGATGTTGCAGTGGAAAGGTTTGTCTACATTATTTTGTTGATTCTTCGAACCTCCTATAAAGATAATGCCACTGCCGTTACATTTTGTACACTTGGTTACTGACGCGACTCCTCTTCTTTTCACAGGATGGGCATTTTTTACAGCTAACGGAATTGTGTTTTGCGTTCCTATTAAAAACATCAAATGACATTAGTTGTACTCATGCAAGAAAGGTATGTGTGTATATAGAAAAACTAAACTACCACGTACCTATGCGTTTAAAAAGAAAAAGACAAAGAAGAACAAACCACAGCAGTTAACAAATTGTACTTATTTTTAGTAGATAATATCAATGTAAAATAAATGTTAGTCCTATAGATATGTACTTGCTCAGCGTATCATCAGTGCCACTTTCGGCTAGTTTTCCTGATAAAGGTATATATATATATATATTACATAATTTGAAATATACATATATATATATATTGTTTACTATATTATTATACGTCCAGAATATTAATGTTTAATAGACAGTGTTTATAAGACAGAGAAGAATACGGGTACTTAAGTGCTACAAACATGCCATCTGGTGAATATAGACCACAAACGTCCTATTATACCAGTAAATAGTAATAGTGGCAATGGAGAAAAGATACGCGACCGAGGAACTACAATACATAAACACACACCTCTATCAGCTTTGGACATACTGTTTGTGGTCTGGGTTCCTGTCGACTCCTCAAACTTGACCGTCGACGAATCCGGTGCCGTGGTAACCACGAAAATTTGAGGCTGAATGGCTTCCGCAGAAAGACACGTTTCGCATTTGACCTTCATCACTGCTCGTTTCTTGTTCGTGTCCTGAGGCAAGGGAGCACCGCATGACTCGCAATTTTTTATTTTTAACGTATTTTGGGGCTGCTGTTGGGTCTGCGCTTGGGCCTGTACCTGTTGTTGAGGCTGATGTACTTGAATCTTATGAGATTTTAAGTCACTCTGAGTGGCAAATGTTAAGCCACATTCTTCGCAACTGTATCGGATCCGATCGGCAGATACTATTTGGATTTGAGCTGGTTGTGTCTGAGGTTGCCCTTGGACCTAACAAATTACTATTTTAATACTCATCTAATATCTTCTTTCTATCGTATAAAGCCAAATGATTCAAACTACAGTAGGGTGCCACACGTCCCGATTTGAAGAATACTACAATCCCAGTCAGTTAGTCAATGTATCGGTCCAGTAGGTAAGCATGCCGCTATCTGTTTTATCTCGAACAGTGAACTGAACGAATGGCAAAATTTGTGTTTCTGCATGGAATGTTTTAAAAATGATGTTTCTTAAGGGCAACAAGCAAAAAAAAAACTACAGACAATGTATTAAAACAAAACAAGAAAAAGAAATGTTGATATCAGGCCTTTGGCCGCCTGTGTTGTTCTCTGATATATGAACAGTTTCCGGGCTGTTGTGCGTGGTCGGTGTCTTACTTCTTGATGCGACGTTTCGCCAGATCTTACTTCTGGCATCTTCCTGCTATAGCGTTACGTATGGTTGACAATCAGTAATTGCGTAACGCTGCCCCCTGAAGATGCCAGAAGTAAGATCTGGCGAAACGTCGCATCGAGAAGTAAGAAACCGGCCACGGCACAAGATTGCAAGACGGAATTTTTTTATAAACCAAAACAGGATAAAAATGTATTCGAAAGCTTTCTCAAGGTAGATTTTTTATCAGTCAGTAATATCTAGAATGCGGATGACATAAAATATGCAACATGATACTTATGTATTGTGAAACTTAACACATCGGCATAAAGGTTCACCCTAAAAACCAACAGTTATACATATAACAAATGCTTGTACATACAATTAGTTTAAATAAAACTATAAATAAATAATTAAGAACCACGTGGTGACGCAAAGTTAAATTCACAACTTATAACTGGTTGCGTTTAAGAAGTTTTAATTGTAGAAATTTAACTGTAATACGACTGACTGACACTGACAACAAATTAAAGAAAAATTTGAGGTTTTTGCTAATACATAAATATAATCAAGCAGTGGAAGTAAACATTTTATTAAGTACGATAACAAGAGCGCTTACCACTTGAACGGTAATTTGTTGTTGTGTTTGTTGGTCGGCTTGCTGTTGACTTCCCTGCTGATGAACTCGCTTATGATGATTTAATAAACTTAGATGGGCAAACATGAGACCGCAGACTTCGCATTTGAATGTTATGTTAGAGATTGTGTTTTGCGCCAGCGACATCTGGTTTACTAAGGCGTAATTATATGAGAACGGTTGTGCTATGTAACATTTGTCATCGGTCAGCTGGGACATATTAACGGTGGAATGTTGGGTTTGTGCCGTAGCCACGGCACCTGAAACGTAATAATTATGATAATGTTAAAACAGGTGCTGCTGGACATATTAATAACAGACAAACAGACTTCATTTGGTGGTAATCGCGTACCTGTTCCGGGAGCTATCTTGTGAATCATGTTAACGTTAGCATAGCAGAAAGAAGGAAACGTTTCCTTCTGTTGAGCTTCTTGTCCTTGGGTTTTATCTTTCTCTTGTTGTTGTTGAGTCTGATACTGAATTTGAGACTGTTGCGTTGTAATTGCATTCGGATCGAACATTTTCTTAATTCAGACTTCTTTAAATAACTACAAAGAAAAATGCAAACAGTGTATGTTAATATATATACCACCCTCTATAATTTAAATGGTAGTAATAGAAAATCATCCGAATGTTACAAAATTTGGTTTAAAGATAAACTGTATGCAATATATTTTTATTGTGGCATAAATGGTTGCATACAAACAAGAGCGTTATTCAAAAAAATATTTTTATATTCTGTTAATAATGGATGTAGAAAGCCTAAAACATAGTAATTTACGAATTGGTTTGTACTATTTTGTAATTTCGTTTAGTTTAATTTTATTTCTCATATGCAATACATATGCCTAAACATAAACAAGAGAAAATAAGACAATTTATTGATGACAAATGAACAAGTACAGTTAAAATTGCTATTTACATTTCAGAATGCGGACGCTTTTCAATCCAAGCTTTAATCTGAGGAATAGACAAAACGTTATTAACAACAGACTGTAAATTAGCATATTTTTCTAGTAAATTTCCGCTAATCATGTAATTAAGGTAATCCAACCATGCAGCCAAAATTATATCCGCCCATGTCAATTTGCCGCATGCCAGATGACCATTATTTTGTTTGGCGATCGCGTCTAAGCGTTCCAAATAATAAGGGATGGTTTCCTTCAAGAGAGGTCCTTTTCGCGATTCTTTTATGGAGGGATCCGACTCATAATTATAAAGAGCAATTTTTTGACGCAAATCGTTTAAAGTATCAACAACGGAATCGATTTCCAAATCTTCCCAATCGTTTGCTCCTATCAACTTTACCTGCTTGGCTAAATAACGACAAATGGCGATGCTTTGATGAGCCACTTTGCCGTTTACTTCTAGAACAGGTACTTGTCCAAACGGCATCTTCGGTTTTATCTGGGGCCAGTTTTCACGATCGAAACGATAATCTTCAAATTCAAATTTTCCATAACTTAAAAGAAAACGAATCGGCTCGCCGAGAGCTTTAACAGGAAAGTACGTCACCTTGTATTGAGGAGCCATTTTCCTTCTTTTGTTACTTTTATTTTTCAATTTTACAAAAACAGGTCCGTATAAACTATTTGCTCATCAGTAAGATAATGCACTTATTAATCACCAACAGTGTAGTGTAAACGATAGACGCTTCGATTATTAGTTACTTATGTATAGAGTGCAACACCAATACAAATACAAACTACAACAACAGCGGACGGTTCGAGTACGACCACACAATTGCCTTTACCGGCCGGCTTTCAAGCTTTTATACTATGTATGTATATACGTATGTATACAATTAGGACACTACATACATGTCCCTGTACACAATATACGCACACATAAAGCACGCGAACAGTCTGGCATTACTGTAAATTAATAGAATAAAAGCCGAGAACGGAAAGTAGCATATTTATTAGTCCAATTCTGGGCGAAAAATTAAAACTTTTAGTTTCGATTAACTCATCGGAGCTTCGAAAAATCAGTTGTGGACACGTCCCCAAATTTCAAAATGAAGCGTTGTTTCTCTGTCAATAAAGAATCCAACACAACTAGTGAAAGGAGACTCAACTGGAGAGAAAGAAGTAATCCGAAAAGAGTGGGTAGTCCGCGTTTTACGACCTACGTTGCGCAGAAGTGAGAAATTTTCCTTTTACGCATATTACTGTAGACTCATACAACTATAATGTCGCGCAGTCTACCACTGCGCAGAGACCACTCATACAATCATAATTTGCCGCATGCACCTACCCACTTCACATTAGTTGAGTCTCCTGTCTCTAATCTTCTTGTACGGAAATATGTCGTCATACATTCACTCCATTTTAATTTCCATTAAATAATACTTCTTCGGTCGAAATTCAAACGTGCCCAAGTGGTTCAATATGATAATAATATGTATAACTAATTAGATGCTATGTTGTTGGTACTTTTATTTATTACATTTGTTTTCCAATGTAAACGCCGGTATAAAGCATGATAAAATTAAAAGTTTTATTTTTTATTCTTCTATTAAATGTTGAATCCAAACTACAACGGTAAAAAATTTTTCATTTTTCCCATCACTATGTTTTTGAGTTACAATTTCCGTAATTGCTTCTAATAAATCAACAAATAAAAAAAACGACTACTGACTAAAGTTTTCTTGTTTGAAAATGAGCTATATTTTTAATGCGCTTCGAGTAAACGAAATAAATAAATAAATGTTTATTGTGAAAATATATAACTTGGTAACAAAATAAACCTACATATTTGTAACGAATGTGTATCAAAAATGCTTCATCAATATTTAGTTTATTAAAAATTACAGCAAAAAAAAGAACGATAAACCATGTCTCACAATAATTAATATGAATTTTTTAAAAATAACAACAAGAAGTCTTCTAATTTAAAGCAGTTATTAAGATTCGGTCTGAGGACGTTTCTCGATCCAATTTTTTATTTGAGGAATATTTAAAACATTATCCACAACGGTTTGCAAATTGGGATAGTTTTCGATTAAATTCCCTTTCGTCATAAAATTAAAATAGTCGAGCATTCCAGCAAACATCATATCGGCCCAGGTAAGTTTGGCACAAGCCATGTGTCCATTATTATTTTTTGCGATGGTTTCAAAACGTTCCATGTAGTAAGGAATAGTTTCTTTGAAAAGAATTTCTTTTCGGGATTCTTTCACGCTCGTATCGCTTTCGTAATGATATAATGCAATTTTTTGTCGAAAATCATTTATAGTGTCAACGATTGAATCGATCTCAAGATCTTCCCAATCATTTTCACCGGTCAATTTTACTTTCTTTGCCAAATAACGGGCTATGGCGATACTTTGATGGGTCAACTTACCATCAATTTCAAGAACAGGCACTTGTCCGAATGGCATGTTTGGTTTTAATTGTGGCCAATTTTCTCGATCGAAACGATCGTCTTCGAATTCCAAATTGCCATAGTTCAACAGAAAACGAATTGGTTCGCCAATGGCCTTGCTGGGAAAATATGTCAGTTTATAATGCGGGGCCATTTTTTCTACTTCGCAATTATCAAACAGGTCAATAGTTTTATGAATTCTCTTTAAATTGCACTCTCCAAAGTTTTCACACAATTCGGTCATTCGATTTTTTTTTAATAAAATGACATACGAAAACAGAAATTCTCTTTTGTTGTTTTTATCGATTAACGTTACCTTCTTGGATCGTTTTACAACTTCGGAAACGATATACAAATATACATATATGATAAACGGATAGTAAATTTATCTACCTATAATAAATATGTAATTTCGGGCAATTTAAAGCAATTTGGTGAATGTATTAGGATTTTTTTTTTGCATCGAATAAGCTCGGTTCTGTTCAAGTGCGAAATAAAACCAATTGGACATGTGCAACCCAACGCACACCCTGTATATCCATGTTACATAATAGATCGCCCAATAAAAGCTGAATCAACCTGACATTTAACATTAATAAGACCATATTTAATTTGTATCTATGCATAATATGTGTATAGGTACTAGTGATGCAACGGAAGTGTTATAACAGAAATAGAAGTAAATAGTAAATTTTTGCGAAAGCGGAAACGGAAGCTGAAGTGTAACTTATTAATGTAGTGGTCGTGCTCCGCTTTTGCGAATATTTTGTTACAGATATTGCATTTGGTGCTTGCATCGTTAATATCAACAAAATAATTTCAAATAGAACTGACTTCTTTCACTTTTAACTGAAAACATACAACACTGAACAAAAACTATACAAAATAAATAAACGCTATAACTGCCAACCAATCGTTTTGTTTTTGTTTATCCTATTTATTAATTGCTGTTGAACGTTTCATCACTATTGCGATTCCTTCTGCCATTTGATACTGTTGTAAACACAACTACTATATATACATACTACACAATGTATGCACAAAGCTGTTAATATCAAGTTATATGTATATCACAAAAAACATTAATAGCACTTGAATTCCGAAGAATAGTTGTAAACGCGTTATCAATTGTGAATTTTGTTGCCATGCAATAAATACATATTTCTACATTAACAATTTTATTTTAAAATAATTAATGATAAACAGTTTTTAATAATTAAGCGCCTATTCTAACGACTACTTATCTACAAAACGTATGTGTAATGTGGGTTTTCTGAATCAAAATATAAATTTCTCAATCCCATATTACTTACCGATTCTTTCAATTTGCAATTTCAAAATCTCTAAATAACCCTTACTTCCTTTTACTATCCTTTTAAATATTTTTCTGCTTTACACCCATCTAAATATTGCGGGTGATAAGTATTTATAGAACTACGTAAATTAATTATTTTCTTAAAAAACTACATTTAAAATAAAGAATAGGAGAACAGGGGAAGTCAACAAGAAATAGGCCAGATAGGTTGGTAGGACACCTTCTCAGGCATGAAGGTCTTGTCAGAGCCATATTAGAGGCAGAAACAGGAGTTAAAAGGGATGAAGATAGAATTAGATTAGATTACTGTTCGCAAATAGTTAAGGATGTGGGTTGTTCTAGTTTTGCGGAAATGCGAAGATTAGCTCAGGATAGGAAAGAGTGGAGGTGTGTGTTCAACCAATCTTAGGACTGACGACTTTATGATGATGAAACGTCACCCTATTCCCACTTTTAAAATATCTGCCTACGCTTATGGTATAACTATAAACAAGAAACCACGTCAATTTCAAACATTTCTTCTACTTTATACGTATGTATACATATATAACCTGTAATATCCTTAATGTACAATAACTATTTTATAGTTTGTTACATTATAGGTAAAATATTTTACTAACTTAAATAGGGGTATATAGCAATAGTAACTTAAATCCGAAATTTATTTAGGTACTTATTATTCAACGTGGAAAGAGCATAATATATTATTAATTTTTTTAAAAATACAAGAAATAGTTCTCACGTAAAATGAATATTACACACATTTGCCTACATAAAAAAAGAAAACACACAAAAATGTTTAAAACGTTTAAAATTTAATATAGGTATATTATATCAAATCAGTTGGTGCAATTAATTTTTTCATTACATGCCACGGAAACTACTTCATAGGTAGGGAGATATTTCAATTTATACAAAATAAATAATGGAGTAAAGTAAGGTGCAATTTATGAATTTGTTTTTAGATATTCTGCTCATCCGAGTTATTTCAATAGATGCTCACAATACAACAGGAGGTAAAAAGAATGGCTGAGAAAGAGAACCAAATAAAATGAACATGTGAGGCCCTCAACATAGCCCTCAATATTTTATGTTGCTGACAACAAATTTTCTTTCGCCTTTTCTTAAAATACATCTCTTTTTACAACAAAGACGCTGATAAAATTGAAATGAAATAAGGATATAAGGCAACAAAGAAAACCATTTACCTTTGGTCTCACTCGAAGACGTAATCCGAACACCGATATTAAGATTCGGAACTTGTAAATTTTCACAATAAAGTATCACAAAAGGCACATAAAACTATAGGAAACTTCCAAAATGTTGGAACAGTCTCAAAATTATTTACCGAATACATGTAAAAATACACAAAATTTGCGAAAACGCTTACATCTATCTCACTTTAGAAAATGGCGGACAATCGTTGCCATCTTTGTCCTTCTTGTTTTTTCGAATTCACATGCGCAACAGCAATAACGTATTAACAATTACAATTTTCCTCTTACGTCGAATTTGGCTTCATCGAACATTCTCCAATTATTTTGATAAAAATTTTATAAGTCATTGTTATTTTATTTTTATGAAAAAGGGAAAGATATCGATGCACGTTTATATTGTACGAATTGATAAAATAAATTAAAAAGATTGACAAGCAAACGAAATGCATTATATGAAGTTTGCTTTAAATTGATTTTCATTTTTAGAATTTAGTAATCTAATTCTCGTCTAGGGTTTTTTTATTTGACCCTGACAGTTGAGGTTTGTGTGTGGTTGCGATGTCGGATTTAGGAAGTGGAGATGAAGGGTCGAGTTCACAAAGTAAGTATTAAGACGATAAGAAAGCGAAAAAGATTTCTATTAAAGTTTTAACAATGTCTTAACATCTGTAATAACATAAATTTACTTTTCGGTTTGTAATCTATGGCATAACAGATGACAGACAAGACAAAATGGCGAGTTAAAAGTTCGAACTGGCCTTTGTTTTATTAAACACGATTAATAACGACCGTTGTATAGCAAATTGTTCGCTTTAAAATCGAAACTTGTTAGATTAGCATTAGTTTTGTTGAATTTGGTGGACCGGATTTACAGTAATTGATTATATGAGCATCTTTTAGTGTCACAATGACAGCTTGAACATGTATTGCGGTAGGCCTTCGACGACCTTGGCCAACAGCCTTTAGGTTGTGTTTCGTTTAAAAATTCTTTAGAATGTTAGCGAAAATGGTCTTTATCGTTACAGCTAAAATGTTTTGTCATTTATTAGCAGAAATTGGGCTACAACAGTGTAATTGTTAGTAAAAGGTTATTCGAGATTATGTATAGTTTTTAGTTAGGCAGCAAGGAAAAAAAAAATGGTGTAATTAAGCCTATTTAACCATTTTAGAATACCGTCAGGGAATGGACCAGGGAAGTACTGAATATGACCCAGGTAATCATCTTTGATCTTTATTTGATATTCATTTTCCAAAAAATCGATCAATTTTTTTCCGTGAACTTACGATTACTTAAACTCCAAAACTGAGAAATGATATCACTAGAAGTTGTGAATGAGAATTTTTTGCAGTGAGTCATGTCATTTCTTAGAAGTCAGTGTATAGAAGAATCAAATAGTAGTGAATTGCAATGATTCATATCATTCGTTACATACACTGTCGTGTTCTAACCGGCATAGTAGCTGATAGAAAAAGTGTCTTTAACTATATGAAACCACTTAAGTTCGTATTTTTTGATTATGACGAAAAATTATCTGCTACATAGTATACACTAAAATTTAAATTCTCATTGAATCCACCAACCAAAACAGTTAGATAGTTATGGATCAAAAATTTGAATGGTCATTTAAACGAATTCAGTACTGGCGGGATCCAGGTGTGATATATGAATTTATGTATTTTATTCATGAGCTTTGTATGTGTGTTAAGTGTTTCAGTGTTAGTTTGAATTTTCCTTTTCAATTGTAGGTCAGCAAGGACCTGCGGAGCAGGAACTGGCCACCAAAATGTTGCAAATTCAGAGTAAGCGGTTTTATTTGGATGTCAAACAAAACAGACGAGGAAGATTTATTAAAGTAGCTGAAGTAAGTGTTTTTTTAAGAATGCTTTAACATATCAGTGGAACATTTTTTAAGTTTTCAGTTCATTAAGTTTGTTGATTCCAATTAAGAACCCTGCCTTTAAGAATTTTTATTTATCTGACATAATTAAATACACATTGGACAATACTTTTTTATGCTTAATTATTTCAATTATATCATTAAATGACATTATTTTAAAGATTGGTGCAGATGGACGACGGTCGCAGATATTTTTAGCGCTTTCGACTGCTGCTGAGTTTAGAGATCATTTATCATCTTTTAGTGATTATTACTGTTCTTTAGGTAAGTGAAATTTGATTGATATTGTATGACATGTAGCTTGATTTAATTACAAGTGGGCTTTTTTAGTTTTTCGCAAATATATATTTTATTAATTTTGTACTTCAATACAGCATTAGTGGAATAACAGTAAGCTTATTAATTAAACAGAAAGTTGTTAAGTCTAAGATTGTCATTGGTTGTGTATTAGTTATATTTATTGAACTATTTTTTTCTTACTGTAAACCCTCTGAAGGCCCTCCAAACCCTGACAACGTGCCTGAAGATGGCAAGCTACGCAGCGAAATGATGATAAAGGACAACAGGCGCTACTATTTGGACCTGAAGGAGAACGCGCGGGGTCGATTCCTGCGCGTATCGCAAACCATCACCCGGGGAGGACCCCGATCGCAAGTGGCCATCCCCGCCCAGGGAATGATTGAATTTCGTGATGCTCTTACGGACCTGCTTGACGAGTTCGGTGCCGGCGACGAACAAGTAAGTCATGCGTAATACGAAATAATTTAAATAAATCGAATAATATAATAAAGTTATCACGACCGCCACTGTCACAGAAGGAAAGTTTTTATCTTTGTGACTATCTATTACTTACCAGTTGTCATAAATAAATTTACCTCTCAACAAAAGTCTCGAGTACAATAAATTTACTTGGACTGACAAAGGAGTGTCATATACAAGTAAAGGGGACTTGATATCATAAAAGTATTGGAGAGAAATGGGAAATGCTAATCTAATTGTAGTTGCTTTATTGTACTATTCATAAATGAACATGGAACCTAGTTTATAATAATTTATTATAAAAGAAGGGTAAATAAATTTACATAATACGGCCATAGTTGTGGACAAAATAAAAATCATTGGTTAAGGCAGGTAAAATTTAATTTAAAAAGATGTATGGACCCGAACTGCCCGCGAAACATTTATTATATAATATACACATCTTTAATTTCACAGTGATAGAATGATCGCCTGCCACTTGGTAAATTTATTACCTTTAAGTCTTTTGTTAAGAACTATTTGTGAAAGGTAGTAATAAATTGTTAAGCCATGAAGATACAGACTTTCCTCTAAACCAATGTTACTCAAACATTTTGGTCCTCAACCCCTTTTTGCACCTGAAGAAATTTCCTTCCCGAAGAGCGAATATAGAAGTATATCTCGGGGAGGAGGTTTAATGTAAATTCAGAACGAGTTAATTTCTTTTATTTAATTTCATTGAAATGCTCATAATTTTGAGTAATAGCTCATTTGTTTTTTGTATAAAAATTAATAACTTATCGTTGTTGAGTAAGTACATCCTTGAGCAAAACATTGTATGTAAATATTTTCATTGATCATCTGTAATGCTTTAAAAATTTTTATCTGCGATTCCTACTTTGAGAATCGCTGTTCTATATGAAGNACCTCTAATAATTATTATATTTAAATACTAAATTATAGATGTAGGGTCTCGCGTTTGAGACGTCGCCCCCCGGTATAAGGGGACGTGTCGTCTTCGTCGTCGTCGTCGTCTCTTACTAGTAGCGCACGCAGTTCCATCGTTTTTGTTATTATATCATATTATTAATTAATCCGTTTCAGCTCAACTTACTTAGCCGTTGTTGTTTCTTTCAAATTTTATCTGTAATAATGTGTACTTTGTAAGTAACTACAGAAAAAGAGAAATCTATAATTATGAAAAAGAAGACAACATGCACTGTAATGGTTAGGTGATTGGCTTCTTTTTAATAGAGTTACCAATTGAGTAAGTACATCCTTGAGCAAAACATTGTATGTAAATATTTTCATTGATCATCTGTAATGCTTTAAAAATTTTTATCTGCGATTCCTACTTTGAGAATCGCTGTTCTATATGAAGGTGGCAATTATGCATTGTATAGGTAGAAGGGAAAGTAATTTAAAAATATTAAGTACTATTATAAATAAATAATCATAAATTGAGATTGTTCAGTTTTCAATCCCAACTGCTAATATACTATTGTTTAATAAGAATAAGACAAAATTGCAACATTGAAATTAGTACAAAATATGTAATAAATAAATAAACAAAAGAATCATTGTTGAACGTGCGATCGCATGTGTCGTTAGGCGGCTTAATAAAAGAGAGCAAAAATTCAGTCTTTCAAGCAAGATTTGCCGGAGGGACGACATCTACATGTCGACAACAAAAACTTCTACTTCGACATCGGCCAGAATAATCGTGGCGTATACATGCGTATCTCGGAGGTGAAGACGAATTTCCGTAATGCGATCACAGTGCCCGAAAAAAGCTGGACTCGCTTTCGTGACATCCTTGCAGACTATTGCGAGAAAATGAAACAACCACAACAGCAAACGTCCTTGCCTGGCATTGGACAGCAACATTTGGGCAGCGGCGGAGGAAGTGGGGGCGGCGTCATACCCGGTACCACGACGGTATCCGATCAGTCGCATACACCGGTATGTTGTGTACCTATACATTAATTTAGTCTGTTTTATTGGGGTTCCGTGTCTCAAAATGAGCAAAATGGAACCCTCGTATGAATGTTTACGTGTAGCAATAAGCGTGGATGAGCTTTTAAAACAATCGTAAAATATTACATTTGTGGCGCTTATTAAGTGTACTTGTTATTGTTGATAATTTTGTTTATTTTAGATTGGCAACAATATTCATCAGCAGGACTCGGGTTCAAGTCTGAAATGAAGAAGGTGATCACTTTAGATCACACAACTTTAGGTCACTTTTAAACTAATTCAAGTGCTGAATGTGGTGGGGAGGGGTACGACAGGTGGTGGTCGGCTCCCCTTCCCGCTGCCAATCTGGTGGGAGAGTTAGGACGTGGGACGTGTGACGTGCGTGATCCTCCTGCCTTTATTTGGTTTCTGTGAGTGTTCCAAACAAAAACATTGTAAATGTTAGATATATTCTATGTTACGAGTTATTAAATTATTAATTTATTGATTTATAGATCGATCAAGATTAATTATTATATTATTATTTTTCGAGTCGAGTGCGACTTATCTCATCGACTTTCTTTTTCCCTTTCTTTGCTCGTTGTCGGCCGATCAATTTTCCTACGTCAATAAATGTAAAATTATGCATGTATATGACCAAAATACGATCGATAAAATTGAGAACAAAATTTTTAAAACTAGGTTTTATTGGTATTTTTCGTCGTGGCCGCAGGAAAATTGATCACCTGTGAATTAATGTGTATTTGTTGTTATACAATATGTAGCGACATTAAAGATATACGAGGAGATGTCACGGAAGAAAAACTGCCATTTATAAAAAGAGTATATGTTTTGACAAAGAAGCAGCAGAGCATGTTTTTCTTTTTTCTCGCGGTTATTATGTCAATGATAGTCTACATAAATAAATATGTATAAATAGGTATCTATATACATACACATTTATATATTTTGGCCTTATTTTTTATTAATTGATCAATAGATACTATAACACATAGTAATTAATAGGCGGTGCATTGCTTCTGCTCGTATCATCATCATCATTATCCACCTCAATGCTGCCAACTCGATTACTCTGCAGGAGTGGGGGGTTATCATGCCTGTCTTGTCTTGTAGTACGACTTCCCCCCATTTAACAGATAGATAAAAAAATAAAAGAACGTTTCTTATAATAATAAATAAATACAATTGTGATTAGAACTTATATGTATATTTATTTAAATTAAAATTTCAAAATTTCAAATTTTTGTGATATGGCTTGGTGATCGTCGGATGATTCATTTTTAAAAAAGAAAAATTGCCAATTATTTACCTGTGTTGTCTAAAGGGGCCCAACGCTTACCTAATTAAAAAGAATGTTACTTTAAAATTAACCTTACTTTGTAATATGTAACACTAAAAATTTTTCATTGGCTAATCCTTTGGCTCTGGCCCTTTTGCCAATTCAGATGTGGTCCTGGTGTTTATATCATTCTTGATAAATATTTGTTTTCTTGTGCGCACCTTCGCCTTCTTGGTGAAGAGAAACGTGTACCATGTTTTAATTAATTGTAAGTTTTATGACATGTTTTTTTCTTATATTTTTATTTTTGTAGTCCTAGTCAGATAAGATCGGCTGATTACTCGGGACTTCAACTTTTCTTCTTTCTTGATTCTGCCGATAATTATTACCTGAGTCAATTTATATAACGTAAAAAGAAGAATAATGATTAAAAACTGTGCATTTTTCTAGTTTTATTGAAACTAATTTGTTGTAGTTAATTAATAATGATTTAATATTGTCTTCAAAATTCTCGTCACTTAAAGTTAGTGCTTACATGTAAAACTTTTCTTTTATATTATTAAATAGTCCCGAGTAAACCAGGAGGTACTTTTAGAAACGTAAAGAAAAATTAAAAAAAGAAGAAAATAATGTAAGTAAAAAAAAAAGAAAAACGATTATTATTGTATGAAGAGAGAGAAACGATGTGTTATTGATTATTAAATATTTTTAAATTATATTACATAAATGCTGGACATTTTGAAAATTAACATATTAGAATAGAGTTAAGTGTGAAGGGACGAGGCCTCGTTATNCTTGGGGGAGATTATCCCCGCTCTGGTAAAATAGTTATTCCTCGCGTATAATATAATCATTAAAATTAAAAAAAAAAAAAGAATCAGCGCCACTACAGACTAGGAAAGTAACTGCTAAAATTGTCCTTTCCGATTCGTATGGCATTAACATGTTTTTGACGCCGCTGATTACGAGAAAAATAGTAAACAGTTCCTCAGCGTTGGGCTTGTATAAAAATAAACAAAAAAGTGTGTACACGTTAACCCTTGTATGTCTATTTGCGGAAGTACGTAAAGAAAAATGTTATGCACCAATTGAAAGTGAATGAAAAATGCTTTTGTTTAATTTCCATGAGAGCAATTTTTTTGTATCTTTTTTGGGTAACTTATTTCAACAAATAATTAATTACAACTTCCAATTTATAATAACTAATTATAATATGTGTACTCGGTACAATAAAACGAAAAAAATATATAAAATCTCAGTAATTTGTAACGTATTTTTTTCGGTATCATTTATCAATGTATGCGTATTTAAATTTGTGTTTGATTTATACAATTGGTAACTCGCGTGATGCATTCTTCGCATTGTGTTAATAGCGCTAGACTTATAATTTTCTTTTATGCCGATATAACTGTTTAATGCTATTTATCATTTCAAAACTACAAGTTTTAATGTGAATGACTAATTAGTTTCTTTTTTTTTAATTTATTTAAACAAGAAACTGCATAATGTTTGGACTTAGCTTTAGATGAAAAATTTTCATTCCTTTTACATTAAAACATTTTTCAGAATGTGGAGTTACGGAATTTATTCATTCCGTTTTATTTTCGTGTATCTGTTTGCCAATATATTTGAGAATAAACATGTTGCAGATTCTTGAACAAAATAAGCTAATAATTTTGGTTTTACTACAATTCTACAACTAATTACATAGAAAAGCTAAAAATTACGAAAATAAATGAAATCAAAGTTCAGTGTTGAATCCCTATACCTGTCATTTATTTTTACATATTATTTTTTGTGTAAGTTCTTCTTATTTTTGCGTATATAGTGTACATATATGCAAGGTACGTCTTGGGATTGAACAAGGAACAAAGTGTTAGTAACATCGCGTCATTCATAAAAATTCTATATTTTATGGCCTGTAGAAACTGGATTATTTTTAAATATATTTTAAAAAATTAAAATGAAAATGTTAAGGTGTCATGAAAATTGTAAGGTTTTTTTAATCCTTGAAGTATAGCTTTAAATTATTTGAAGTATTTAATTTGTATTTATTTAAAAGAAAGTATCGAATGTTTTATATATATTAACTACGTTTTTTATGTTGGCAAAATTGTTTTTATTTTATTAGATGGAAATAAAGACGTTTCATAAAGAATTTTCTTTTCCTATAAAGCATATCTACAATATTCAAAAATTGTAAGGCTAATTTGTTAAATTACCTCTGTCAACGTTTAGTTAATTATATGTATCTATGGTAATGTGAAGTTCTGCTATGGTGCGGTCATCATAGTTTATCTATGAACACGTGATAGTTTTGCAGGTCCATTCTTGTAAAGGAAGAAATGAATGAGTATCGATAGTTTCGTATATTGAAAAATATAAAATGGCTGTATTTTACCGGAATATTAGTATAGATTGTTTTGTGTTGTGTGGCACGTGGAGGGTGAGTTACTTTTAGTTACAGTTAGGGAAATCTTTTTGTGACATTTTGATATTTTAATTGATGCATATTTATCTATTTTTTATTTTGATATGTGAAATAGTAATGTTGTTAGGATCAATTAAACGCGAACATTATCTTTCTAATTAGTCATTTTGGGTTATTAACTAACTTATGTACATCTATCAATGTAGGTACGTAGTATGAGAAAAACATACTTTTATTTTACAATTAACCTCTACAGACACACTCACCTACAAAAATTGAATATAATAATTAATATGTTTAAAAAAAGGTCGTATTCGAAAAAGGTAAATTCATGAAAATTCGTTTGATGTTTACAACTTTAGTGTACAAAGAGCCCAGAGACTTGTTATAGCAAGCCTTTGACAAAGAGCACAAAATCTCTTGTTTATGCACAAGATGTTTTTCTGATTGGTAAATAAATAAGAATGACGTACGTTATATGTAATTATCTAATTATTGTGTAGTTATTTATTACGTAATGTTTGATGATACACAGACATAATGTATTATAGGTCCACATTTGTACTGGAACCTATTTAGTTTTATTTTTGTTATTGACAGGTATACATACATAGGTACCTATTATTAGATGATGTTATAAATTATCACATCATTAATTTAAAAAGTATTACACTGCGTAAACAAAAGGGGCATGCTCCTTTGTTACGTGGTGTTAGATGGGGGCAGAGTTGATGCATATCTTCTTGTAACGTAATGGACATATAAATGCCTACCAGCTAACAAAGTGTGTTTAGTTTTTATCATTCTGCTATTTGAAACGTTTTATTGGTTTAAAAATTATTTATTTAATTATTAGTAAAGCACAAAATAAGTAAGATGGGATGAATTAAATGATTACACGGCTTTACATGATAGGGAGGAGGATTAAAGAAGAACGAACAACGTGGAGCAATGTTTATGTATATGCACTAAGTACTAGGTTCCGAACTTGGGGGAGATTATCCCCGCTCTGGTAAAATAGTTATTCCTCGCGTATAATATAATCATTAAAATTAAAAAAAAAAAAAGAATCAGCGCCACTACAGACTAGGAAAGTAACTGCTAAAATTGTCCTTTCCGATTCGTATGGCATTAACATGTTTTTGACGCCGCTGATTACGAGAAAAATAGTAAACAGTTCCTCAGCGTTGGGCTTGTATAAAAATAAACAAAAAAGTGTGTACACGTTAACCCTTGTATGTCTATTTGCGGAAGTACGTAAAGAAAAATGTTATGCACCAATTGAAAGTGAATGAAAAATGCTTTTGTTTAATTTCCATGAGAGCAATTTTTTTGTATCTTTTTTGGGTAACTTATTTCAACAAATAATTAATTACAACTTCCAATTTATAATAACTAATTATAATATGTGTACTCGGTACAATGTATATTGTTAATTATTATAAGTGATGAAAAAGTGTTTTTTATAGTCATTTTTTTTTCTAATTAAATGTAAGTGTCCAAGTATTGTACATTATATACTATCATTCACATGTCTACACATTACAACATATATAAATAATGTCTATGTAATATGTAGCGGCAATCCATGTAAAAGCTAATGCAACACATAGATATTCCAATAACTCGCTTAAATTAAAGCAGTTCAGTTTGCAAATGTGCATGAAAAGTTGGTTTTACTAAATTACCTTCTTCAGGCAGTCAATGTTTTGGTAAAATTCATATTCTTGTGAACAAGATACTTACTTACACCTTATAGTAGGTATATTTATTTTGGTTTGCCTTGTTATTCCATAAGGAGCAACTTTGTTATTAATCATTTACCTACATATATTATTCAGATTTTCAACATATTTTGCGTAAGTTTTTTTCGTTGTCTTGTACTAAAGAATTTTGATTGGGTATTTTTTTCTAGACTTTTGACAAAATTTTTTAGTTTGTATATATTTTGTGGTGGTTCGTTATGAAAGATTTGGTTAATAAATTTAATTATTATTGTGTAAAGGAAGTTTTATAATGTTATTTTCGAAAAATCGTATCCAGTTCCTGATAATTTTACTTATTTATAGTTAGTAGTTATTTATCAAAAGTACCTGTAGTGTAGATGAACGAACATTAACCACGAGTGTCCTTTTGTCGTTTTATCGTTGCGTCTTTTTAAATTATGGTGTAATTGTCTGTAAATTTCGGCCTTTAATATAGATGTTATTGTACTTTGGCCGACATTTTTATTTTCAGAATAAATTTATTGCAATTAAGTAAAATTAAAAATATTAAAAGTAAGACTGATGAAATGCTTTTGTTGGAGTTATTAGATCGCTACGCTGCATTGAAGATAAACGCGACGTTTCGATAACTCTTCAGGGGATAAGGTTCTTTTGATCTTCAAAAGAAAGGCCGAAAAAGACAATTAAACGCGCTCGATTACTTTACTTTAAAATTGTGTATGACCTAGACGGCATTAGTTTTGGTTAATTTTATTATATCTATTTTGTTTGAAAAGCTGCATTGGCATTTCATAACTAGTTTACAGTACCTTCAATTAATTGTAGGTAAATTGATTTTTATTTCAAAATTAGATGCATGTGTAAAACTTACATGTAATAATAATATTTTTTTTAGGTTGTGATAAGCGAAAGTTTCGCTGGCGAGGTGAAGGACTCCGTGTTAGTATATGATAGTAGCGGTTTTGTTGGTTAGGGGTGGGTGTTTTTTCTTTAAAGTTGGTAATTAACGATTTATTAAGTTGTACTGAAGAAAATAATGTGATACATTGGTCGGGATAAAAGACTGCTGCGCTTATGACCGACGACACGACTCGAACAATTCATGGCAACATGACTTTTCCCAGGGGCAATAAAGACGAAAAGAAAAAATGCCTAATTATAAGGCTTTTTGGTAAGTTATTATCTAATGTTTTGTTGACTAAGTATTCGAGCTTGGTTATCAAAGGAACTGGAAGAAAAAGTTTAATAAATACATATAAATGTTGTAAAGATTGATGAATACTACACACTTTCTTTTGTATTTGTAATTTTTTGAGAATATTTCAATTTAATAATTAGTAGGTATTGCTTCTTTTAAACGACAAATATCTCAGTAAGTAGTGCATTTAATTAATTCTTTGTGAAACTGAAACGTTAATAGAGCTATCAAAATTTACTATAGTACTGTATAAGGGTCCGTTGGAATTTATCGCCTTATATATTATTATAAAAGAATACTAAAATCGATCGGGCAATTTCAAACCCTAAGTATTAAAAAAAGATAATCCTGCTTATTTTATAGCTTCAACTCCTACCAACTCAACTACTTTAGTAATCGAGCTCTGTACCCCGTACATCTGTGTCTGTAAAAGTAAAGTTGCTAAGTGACGCCGCAGTAGATGTTATTGTTAGGCGCTAAAATGTAGAAATAAAAAAAAAATAAGATTCCAGTACCTGCTTATATTTTTCATTTTAAAATTTAATTTATTCAGTTCTCAGAACTGTAAAGTGATTTTCAGATTAAATTATTAAATTACCAGCAAAGTAAACAATATTTTTTTTATTTGGAATGTTATTTATTCTCCGGATAATTTGTAGTACAATTGATGAAATTATGTTATGTAAATGGTTTAATGGTTTTTCCGTTTTCTTGCATAACATAAGGTTAAAATCGACCTTGTTAACGTATCGTTTGGATAGGTACAGCAGTGTAATTATTTTATTTTTACTGGATTTATAATAGCTACCTTTGCATTATTTAAAGTATACACTAAAATATTATGATAGTGATTTATTAGGTTCGTCATAAATATGGCGCAGTTTTTTTTTTTTAATTTTTGAGTTAAGCTGCATTGCAAGATCAGTTCTTACGTTTCGAATAAATAAAATAATCCTACAAATACCAAAGATGTATTTGTAAATTTTACACTTGGCGTGTGTTTGGTTGCTTACTTTCAGCGATTATTGCGTTACAAAAATTAAAAAAAAATTAACTATTACTTCCACTTACAATTAATTACATATATTTGCCGCCTACAGCCATTTGTTTGTAATCGTGGTATCCGGTTTTGATCCTTATAATATAGTTGAAAATTCTTTAATAACAGTACATACATTAATTAAAATCGCGAAATTAAAAAAAAATTGAATACCTATTTAAATTTAAATGTATTAAATTTCAGAAGGTATTCAAGGTTGTAATATTATTCATACATCCGTACGTTGCCCTTTGATCAAAAAAAGGTTCGTAGATTTTAATGTACAATTGTATTTGTCAATAACTTAACTCGGCAAAGTAAATACCGTATGGTTAGTTACCCTACTTGGCAAGATCACCATCCAGTGCATCTCTAGTTTAAACATTGTTGTTTATGTTTATATGCAACGCTATATTATGTATGTACGTACAGTAGCTAGGATTCTTTTGACCTGTATAAAATCTTGTGGTAAACATGAGTAATTTGAAACAATTAAAGTGTGTTAATGATAGTCATTTAATAGCCGTTAAAAGTCTCTCCCCCAATAAAAATATCGCGTATGATTTTATTTTACAAGCAAGACACTCATTGAGTTTGTGATTTTTAGAAAACACTTCTTTACAATATGAAATTTTAAAAAATTGTACTTGTTTACGTATTTTTGTAGGTCAAGTCCCAGCCCGTTTGGTCCTATACTTTTTATCATGGTCTGGATTTTTGGTTTCGTTTATGATGAGGACGGATATAAATTTGGCCATAGTAGCCATGGTAGAAGAGCCTCAACAAACAGCTGTAAATTCCTCCAGTGAATATTGTTATTCAGTCGAAGAAAAAGATGATCCAATACAAAAGATTGTAAGATAAAGAGAAAAACGAATATTACAATATCGTTACTATAAATTTAAAAAATTGCATTTTGCGCTCCCTCATACGATGAATTTAATAATTTAGTTATACAGTGCGTCTCGTAATTAGTGGATATACTTATAACGATATGTGTAGTAAAAAGCTTGCCAAGGGTTTCATTAATATATACTTTATTTTGATTTATGATTAAAAGACAACACCAACAACATTTGCTACAGAATGTTAGTCGTTGCATAACTAAACCGGTAATAACAGCAATAATAATATTTTTTATAGGATTACGGAGGAACGCTGCAGTGGTCTTCTGATGAGCAAAGTTATGTCCTTGCCTCGTTTTATTGGGCGTACATAGTTTCTCAAATTGTGGGTGGTCTAGCTACCCAAAAATTAGGCACGAAGAAAGTATTTGGTTATGCACAGTTGCTTACAGCTATTAGCAGCCTCTGCATCCCTTGGGCTAGCGAAACTCATTGCGGTTTGGTCATAGCACTTAGAAGTATCCAAGGATTCGCATCGGTAAGTGTAACGAACGATAGAGGCGCTATCTACAGATAATAAACAACGGTAAAAAAGTATTGTATCGGCCGGGAATAGATCAAACAGTCTTCCCACTGATTTGTGAGCTGTTCATATTTGTTTTTGTTCGGGAATGTCCATCTCATCCATATACGTATGTATATGAATAAAAATGTGTAAAACTAAGAAACAAACATTAATTTTTATATACACATATGTTATAGAATGGTACATAAATAAATATGTGTGGAGATGCATTTGAAAATAATTAAAGATAATTATATATTCCGTTTTGTTGCTAAGGTACCACATCCGATAATGGTCGCAGAAGAATGATTTTGACGAGTTAAATTAAAAAACGTTTGGAAAGATGACGTTAAAAAATATTAATCATATTTTTTTTGTGCCGGATAACGTTAATTTACGTGTTTTAAACGTACAAGATTTTTCAAAAGGAAAGCAAATACATATACAATAATTATAATTTAACTTAATCAGTAAGAAAAACATCTTTGCTGTTCCAATAGCTTACAATAATAATAGGTATAACCTTTTTTTAGTATCTAAAATGATGTAAATGGTTTTATCTTTAAAAATATAAGTGCTTATAAGTAAATTATAACCATGATGATGTATTAAATTAGAAATTTGCACGTGATTTATTTAGTATCAATTTGTGATAATCAGAGAGCAGTCAGATTATTAATATTTGCTCCTATTAGATCATTTTTGACTTTTTTTATTTGGTTTTGTTTGTTCCCGCTATTGAAGTACCTATTGATTATAATTTGTTCAATAAAGTAAATAATACTTAGCATATTCATGCAGAATAAGTACGTACGTATGTGATACGTGACATTTCAATTGACTTTTTCAAACGAATGATTATCTACTAAATTTGAACCATATTTGATTTTAATTACTGAATAATGACATACATTGAAGAAAGGGAATCCTAAAAAAGAAAAATGTAAGAGTACATTGCTGTTTATTTAAAGGGGTTAACGTGGCCAGCCATGTATGCTTTGGTCGGGCACTGGATCCCTGTTCCCGAAAGGAGTCGTTTTATGTCAAGTTTTCAAGGCTTTAGCATCGGTATAGGCATCACTTATCCTCTGTGCGGATTTGTTATTGGGAAATTTGGATGGCGATATGTATTTTATACCACCGGATCTATAGGTAATTGTATAACGACGCAGCTACTAAACCACTGATCAAATTACAAAAAAAAAATAATTAAACTTATTACTAAAGACGGTATTTAAATAAATTTCGAACGGTTTGATTTTATTATTAATTGTTGTTTATAGGTATTGCATGGTGTGTTTTTTGGTATCTTTTGGCATTCGACAGTCCAGAAAGTCATCCTCGTATTTCGTTGAGCGAACAAAGATACATAAAAGAAAATACCGTAAATACTTATGCGGCAGTAAAAACTCAACGAGTTCCATGGGGTTCCATATTCCGTTCGATGCCGGCATGGTCCATCGGTCTTACTACATTCGGACGTATTTGGGTCCATTACACTTTTATTATTCCAGGACCGAAATATATGAAGAGTATTTTACGTTTCAGTATAGAAAAGGTACATTTCGCGATTATTAATTCAGTAACGAACGAAAATGTGAATTTCATTTTATTTGTTTCAGAACGGGGTGTTATCCGGGGCACCGTTTATTTGTAGCTATTTAGCGTCGGTTGTTTTCTGCTATATAGCTGACAAACTGGTCACTAATAATGTCCTTTCCCTTATAACCGTGAGGAAACTGTTTACTGCCTTGTGTAAGTAAATACCGTTTTAGAACATAAGTAATAAATAATTTAATATCTTAGAAAATGATATTTTTTATTGTTGTCTTTAGCTCAGGTTGTTCCTGGTTTCTTGTGCCTGTTGATTAGTTACCTTGGCTGTGACATAGTAATTATTTTAATCGTATGGTTTGTGGCAGTCACCCTGATAACGGCCTCTTACGCAGGAGCTATGGCCAACGTTGTCGACATCGCTCCCAGTTTTGCCGGACCGGTTTTAGCATTCGCCCAAACGATCCACATGACAGCCAGTTTCCTCAGTCCTTTGGCTGCTGGTTATTTCACAAATAACGGCGTAAGTGAAATTATTTTATTCTCTTGATTTATTATATTTTGAACTTTAGTAACATCAATAACGTGTTGAAGGCTTTGTTCATGAACCTCCAAATTCATAATTTTCATGCATTCGATAAATAAAAAAAACAAGAAATGAAGAATGAAAATGCGAGGAACTGTATGAAATGCATATCTATTTAAAAACGTTTTGCTCTTGTATACATATTATGTACTTACAATTGGACACATTAATAATTTAAATTAGGAATAATAAGGAGGTACATTTCAAAGTGATACATTCTAATAATCTTTTCAACAATAAGAAATGCTTCGTCACTATTTTAATCGAAATGGATAGGCAAATTCTATTAATGTTTTCTTCGTCAGTATTTATATTAATCACAGGTTATAGGTCGGTTTTGGGACGAGTTGCTACCCATTTTTTGATCTGCGGAATTGTTAAGACAGTGTCGACAACTTTTTGTAGATTTGGATATTTCTCGATTATGTTTACCCCTGCTCTCGCATTTATAAAGTCCAAAGCTCCGGCGAAGTAGACGTCTGCCCATGTCAATTTTCCGACTGCCAAATGACCTTTGTTGTTCTTCGCAATCGTTTCTAAACGATTCAAATAAAACGGAATCGACTCCTTGCGCACTTGTTTCATGGCTTCTTCGTTTTCATGATTACTGATTATTTTCGCTCTTAAATCAGTAATAGTATCAATTACGGAGTCGATTTCCAAATCTTCCCAATCATTAGCTCCCGTAAGTTTGACTTGCTTGGCCAAATAACGAGCGATCGCAATGCTTTGTACAGCTACTTTACCGTTATGTTCGAGAGTGGGAAGTTGACCAAAAGGCTGCTTATCTTTAATTTGAGGCCAATCTTTGAGTTCGTAGCGGATATCTTCGAAATCCAAATTCCCATACTTCAAAAGGAACCGTAGAGGTTCGCCAAGACCTTTTAGATTGAAGTAAGTCAATTTGTATTGAGGTACCATTATCGATGATGTACTTGTTACACACGCCACTTTCTCACTGCAAATCGAACGCTCACGTCCTGGACGCTTTATTTAATTGCGACCGCCTGATAAGGAAGTGGAAATATACTTATTTATCCGCGTTATTGCACCTTGATGTGTAAAGTTAAAAATAAGTCATTAATAATATAAAATTTCCCTTGTAATGAGTTGGTGTGTTTTTGTGTCATTACCGTGAAGTTAATGTTCCAAAGCGCGATTATGCAGAAACATTTTAAATTGCGCTTAACGCTACAATGAATAGAAAGCCTTGAGGGGTCCGTTAGATTTACATTTATTTAAAAAAAGTACTTATACTATGAACAATTTACTTTAATAGTAGATAAATAACAGATAAAAAGAAATGATGTTCATGTCGCATCTAGTCTGAAGACAACAAAGCAAAAATCGCAATGTAACTATATTTGAATTGTGAATTGCATGTTATTATCACAAACGAAACTGTTAATAATGTTGTAATGGTTCCGGCTTTGTTGTATGGCCATATTATAATGTGCCCATTTATACTGTTTGCGTCGACATACATTTCATTTTTACCATTTGTTTTCGTCGTTATCACATTTTCTTTATATGAATGAGTAAGAAGAATGATGTGACAACAATAAAATATCATTATGGGTATAATAGTTGTGATGTTAAAAATATAGCCTATTAAATTATATTATTACTAAACAACGCAGGGTGATAAATGTAATCTGAGTCGATGCGGGTCGGCGAAAAGCTAAAGTTTAGTCCATAAAAAGTGAACATGTGCATGCCACAGGCAGAGATTATTACATTAATTAATACTTTATTAATACATTAATACTTAATTTACAATTTCGTGATATGTATATAGTGCGTTTATTAAAAAAAAGTAGGTATATTAAAATAATGATCCAGTAGTGTAATACCACATGAATACCTACTTGAAATTTTAGATCAAGGTTTTTACATTGAAATACCTACACATTATTTAAGTTAGTTCAGTTTTCACAAAAGTTCGACGTTTGAAATATTTCCGTAATATTTTGAAGATTACTAAAGTTGTATAATTCGTTAGTTATGACATATTAAAAAATGAAATAAGTACTTAAGTTCTTATTAATTTGTTTTCATCTTTTAATAATGTGGAAAATGTTTTGTAATTCCATAGCGTTATGAGTAATAAATAAAAATTGTTAATTTTCTTGTTATTAGTAAAATATGAATAAGGAAACAATCGCAAATAGTGCATGTTTTTTAATACAAGACTTGGAAAGTTTCTAAAGGAAAAATATTTTACAGCACACGTTATCGGCATGGAGGAGCGTCTTCCATGTTACCGCTGGTGTGGCCATTTCAACTTATTTTGTGTACCAAGTATGGGGAACAGCGGAGGTAATTTTTTATTATCCTATTTTTTTTGCGATTACTTTCATCAAAAAATTGGACAAACTTTTAACACTATATGACCGTACTTTTGCACAACTGGCATTTTCCTAGGTACAACCGTGGAATTCTATTGACGAATCTTCAAATGCTGAAAGCGAATCGATATTCAGCAAGAGTCAGCAGTCGTCAAGTTGTATTGTAAGTTCTAATAAGAGAAATGAAGATGTAGAGAAAAATACTGCTCAGGTGGCTTAAAATTAAAAAATATGCCTGCACGTAGTTTGATACAAATAACATTTTACCAACAAACGAAAGTATCTGTCGTTACATTCTAATTTTTACTACATAGAAACTTTTTTATTCAATTTGTGCTTTTACACACAGCTCATTTAACTACCGTTGTTTCGATTTTCTTTCATGTGTGGCTAGTGTGTCCTTTTTTTTCTGTTAATTTTTGAGTACCCTATTCTAGACTTATTTTGTATTATATAGTGTTGCTAATAGTTTAATAAGGTAACAAAAGACAGTCGTATTTACGAACATTCCAAAACCCTTTTTGATCACTTTTTATGCCAGTGAGAAAAGAACACAGGTGTAGATTGAATAAAATTTTTTCTTTAAAACTTTTATTTTTATAACTTGCTGGAATGGTTATCAGCACAAATTTTTATAATTGTCTTTTCGAAATGAAAACTAGAGAAAAGTATGGAGGCATGATTTTTAAACAGTATTAGAGTTTAAGTGTATATTNCTCTTATTTTTTTTTTTGTAACTTGTATTAATTATTGAAAAATGACACATATTATAGATACATTGTATGTAAATAAGTACTTATTGTTAGTACAAACAATAAACTATCTCTATATGTACTTATAGAACAAATGTGTATAAGTATGTTTGTTAATATATTTAAATAATGAACTGTTAAAGAGATGTATGTTACATATGAACTTTTTAAGAGTCTAGAAATTTAAAATACATTACTAATAGATAATTATAATTTATGTACAGCCTACATAAATTATAACAAATTGTGTAGTAGTAAATTGTTAATAAAACTTTTGTTATTGGTTATATTGACCAGAAATACGTATGCTTATTGCAATTTGAAATGTTTGTATATATAAACAATTAAGTCGCAAATTTCTATAACATTTTTCGTAATTATTTAGTCATATACAAAAAGTCATTAGTACTTGTGTTTGACCAGCAGAGGTCTGTAACATTATTTTAGCTCCTGAATGAAAATTGACATTACGTCTTTTGTATCGATGATCTTTTGACAAGAAGGACTTGTCTATGGAAAGAACAAAAACATCTATGGGAAAAAAATGGAAAAGTTATGTTTGGACGTGTAAAAATTGTTACCGGCCTTAATGAACTGTTTTGTGTTTTAACATTAATATTTGAACTGTACTAGTTAAGCACAATCAATTCTGATCAATGGTAAAATGTAGTTTTTTGACGGCAGAACTAATTTCGTGTAATTAAGGCTATAAGTAATACTTGTTATTTTGATCAACATAAAAATATTAGCAGATAAATTGAATCAAAATGCGCATTCACTGGTTTTCTCGAACTTCACGAATTGTGGCACTGTGTAGTTTTGCAAATTTCATTAACAGTGCAGATAGAGTAATCATGCCAATTGCTATCATTCCTATGACGGATAAGTTTCACTGGTCATTACATGCTCAGGGGTGGATTTTATCAGCGTTTGCTTGCGGTTATTTCACAAGTCAATTGTTAGGTATATCAGTATTATAACTACATATAATAGCCAATAACAATTGTTTGTTTTGCAGGTAGTTTCTGGGCATCAAAATTGGGGGCCAAAAATATTTTAATATTTAGTGTACTGTTGTGGAGCATATCTACATTTATAACACCCCTGTTAGCCCATAGTGTTGTGCTGCTAGTAATATGTCGGATTTTGTTAGGTTTTGCTGAAGGATTAGGACTGCCCACTATTTTTCATTTGTTTGCTCACACGATACAAGTTGAAGAAAGAAGCAGGGCATTTGGTTACCTATTAGCTGCCGGATCTGCAGGCCAAACAGTAGCATCCATTGTATGTTTAAATTAACTCCTAGATCATAATATTCTGGTAATATCTGTACACCAAAAATCTATGATGGAATGTTTTCAGATATGCCCCCATCTACCATGGCAATCATCGTTTTATTGGTTTGGTTCATTAGGATTAATGTGGATATTATTGTGGGTTGTATTTTATCCAGGGAGTGGGTTTGTTCCAGAAAATACGCTTCCTCTTCATATGCCAAAGGTAAAAATGAGCACTTCTGTAACAAACAAATGATAGAACATTTTCTTCATTTTTCAGGCTGCATCATCGAAAAAAATTCGATGGTCAGACTTCATAATTAATAAACCACTGTGGGCGATTTATGGGGCCCATTTTGCTATGAATTGGTCATCTTATATTATCATGCAATGGCTACCGACTTACTTGTCCCGTCATCTACAAGCCGATTCTCATTCTCTTTCTCTTACAGCACTTCCTTACATAGTCCACTCTGTTTTTGGTGTTTTAAGTGGTCACATTGCTGATGGATTGCTTTTTAAAGGTTTGTAATATCTACATAACAAAGAATTTTTGAAGTGTAAAAAAAAATATAATGGGATACTAGGTAACTAAGTTTATATCGATTTTTTTAAACAGGTTGGTCTGTACTAAGTGTTCGTCGTTTAATGACGTGCATAGGTCTTGTCGGTCCTGGTCTGTTTTTGGCGATATTCTGCGTTGTTAACGAACTTCCTTTAGCTCTAATACTGGTATCAATTTCTATGGGCTTCCTTGCATGCAATTCAGCTGGACACCTTTCGAACCATGTGGACGTGGCTCCGAATCATTCGGGAACAACTTTCGCAATCAGCAGCACCATAGCTACAATTCCTGGCATCCTTTGCGGTCCCGTTACAGCTGCATTAGTTGTCGCACACGATGGCAAATGGTTGGCCGTCTTCTTGAGTGCGACTTTCGTGAACTTGTTCGGTGCTTTTGTGTATTTTAAGAACAGCCTTGCCACGCAAGTCATTTAAATTTTATGAAAAAATAAGTTGTAAAACTCTTGACATTCACAACTTGCATTATAGAAATATGAAGCAAGTTGTCGGTTAAAAAGAAAATTGAAATTTGCTTATCGTTAATTAAAACCTGTAGGAAGAGAAGGTGAAAAGAATTCCCTCGTGATAATTAGTATTTGACGAATTAAGGACACCATAATATTATGGGATTAGGATGGAAGGTGATGTTTAATGTTTAGTGACAGTCAGAGATATTAATTACCATTTGTGAAAGTGTTAAACTGAAAGGTTTGGAAATATGTCCTTTTTAATAATCCTTTTAAAATCAGGAAGTACTGGATTTTGTTTCTGAAAACAACCAGGAATGTTGTTGGCTTTTGGCAAGGATAAGTACAAAAGATACCAAAAATTCTCTCTACTAACAGGGTAATAATACATAACAATTACCCTGTTTAGGCATACTTAGGCAATGTAATTTAAACAAATATTTTTACAAAAAGAAAGGTAAGTATACTTTTTTTACTATCCAACTTTCGTTATAAATCTTTTTGTTTTGTTTAGTTTGAATGGCACTTTAATAGAAATAGTTTTCATCGTTTACTGATATGTTTTTGCACAATATGTCGGGTAAGGGACGATGCGTAATTGAAGCCGCAACCGCAAATGTCACAATGATACGCCACTTCACTAGCACTTTTGTGTACGTCCATGTGACGCTGCCAGTTAGTATGTCTTGTGAATTTCTTACTACAAGTCCCACATTCGAATCTAGCAATCGATTATATTATTTCATTGAATTAATAATTATTCGGAAATATAAATTTACCTGTAACTTCTTGAATGAATTCTCAAATGCTTCTGAAGACGTGTCATGCTGTCAAAATTAAGTTCGCATTGGCTACAAACGAAACCGATGGTCGTTTCGGGTACATGCACTTGACATAAATGCACTTGCAAGCTCGTTTCGATCGTCTTGTTGCAGAAAGGACAATGCGAAGAAGGAATGTGTTCGATGTTGACACGCGTCGTCTTTTTACTATGTTTATCGGTTGTTACTAACAAATGCACACAAACCGTAGGCTGCTGACAAATATCCGACTTATTTAAAGGTTCTGAACCGTTCGAAACATTGTTATTCATCCAAGTTACTATAAAAGAAGAGCAAGTCGGTATTGCATAGGTTTTTTTATTGTTTTTTTTTTCAACAAAATCATTTGAATTAATTACCTTCTGTCGCTTTGTTATTAATTAGAACAAGTTCCCATCGTTTCCCTTCTTTATTCTCTTTTACCATCATGCGTCCATAAAAGTATGCCATTGCTTTATTGTAGCCTTTTTTGCTACAATCGTAAGTCTTTTCGATTAATTGTATCACAATATTTTTATCTTTCAACTGATCGCGGATGCTATCCAAATCCATGAGACCCACTAATGTGCTCGACACTTTTTCTTTGGCGTTTTTTAATACTAACAACGTTTGCATCTTGGTCAAAGTGTACGAGGTAGTAGGTGAACAATTTGAATTTTCATTTTTCTCTTTGTTTTGCTATAAGTAATGATGATAAACAGTTAGAATGTTTATGGCTAGGAACAATAAAAAACGAAAAACGTACTTTCTTAATTGTTTGTTCGCTGTTATCAGGGGCATTCTGCACTTTCTTAAATTCGGTCGTCGATTGTTTTTTTTCAATTTTTACAATTTTTCCTTTTAATTTTCTTCCAATCCGCAACTTATCAGAGACAGCATTTTTGTTAATTATCCTTTTATACTTGGTGCTATTTTCATCCCTGTCTGATATGTTATAATTACCGGATTGCCTCTTTACAGGACTTCTTAGTAATTCTTCCTGTATTGTACCTTTTCTTTTTTCCAAACGTTCTAAATAACTGTCAAGAGTAACCACCTGACCTGTTATAAGATTTTTCCCTGTTATACTTCCTAAATCGCATACCACTCCCGGGTTATCGAACGATATCGATTGTTGAAGTGCCTCCAACTGAGCCGCAATGCGATCGTCCTGTTCAGTTCTTAATTGAACGTCGGAAGACAGCGGTTCCATCGTGCGCAAGTGTAATTTGCCATCTTTTAAAATAGCATATGAATATTTTGTTCGTTCATTTACACATGCAATGGGTTCTACTAAAAACAAAGAACATAACAATAATTAACAAAAAATAAAGCAGTAAAACAACTTCAAGTGAACAATGTCAGTATTTAAATACATTGTTGTATCTTTTTACCATTTTCTAAAGGTAACTCTACCATGTTCTGGTCTACAGTATCGACCGAATTATCATCGTTAATCGTAAATTGTGGCTGCTCAAGTTTAATAGATTCATTTTCGACTAGGTCATGCTCACTGTTTATGACAATTTCGTTATCAGCCAAAACGATACCGTTATTTTCCGAAGTGACCGTATTGTAATTCGAATCGCCTTCGTTTACAGTTTTACAATAATAGATTTGTCTCGATTCTTCATCATAGTACCGAACCATTCCTACATTACCCAAAACTTGCGGGTTGTTTATGTCCACCTTCATTTTTACTAAAATACAGAATAAGTTTAACGGTCAATGTAAATACCCACATACATACTATTTATAATAAATACACCTAAATTATATTTGATTTATCAACAACAGTTTCCTTCCAGATGTTTATGTAGTTAATTTAATTTTGAAGTCTTATGAAAGATTACATTAAATAAAGTACATATTATAAACTACTTCATTTGATCCGGAAAAAATAAAATAATTTAAATCAATGTGCTTGGACGCAACTGATTTTCTATCACTTCTATATTTCTATGCATTATTTGTAGATTAACCATAGACGTATCTCTATGGGTTCAACCATAATTATAAATTGAGAATGTTTTTTTTTTAGGTTAAAAATAGAAGTTCTGCAGAATACGTTCAACTTTAGCATTTTATACTTCTAGTTGCAGTCATTAAGAAAATAATTTTAGTACATATAAAGGTAAAAATCAATTAGATAAAGTAGCCATGTGCTAATTTGAACGGCGAATTATGAATTCTAGGAAAAGAAAAAGTATACAATGCCAGACAACACAGCAATGGAATGGCCCTGGCAATATCAATTTCCTCCCTTTTTTACTTTGCAACCTCATACTGAAACAAGAACGCGACAACTATCTACTTGGCATAATCTTGTACTTGATTACTTTCGAACAACTAGACAATACAAATTGGATTTAGGGGAAGCTCAAAGACTTGCACTTTTTAACAATACAGAAATAAATAGGAAATGTGACAGAGAGTTTATATTAATCATTTTGGAAGAACTTGAGAAGACAAAAAATTCAGCTCCTTTAGATAAAACAAGAAATCGATGGGAGATATATTGGCACACATTACAAGAGTGGGCAGACATTATTTACAGCTATATTGTAAATAGAGGAGCTACAGGTAGTGTTTTAACATTCTATGAACTAACTCACGGTGATGATGTAACAGAAGAGGAATTCAAAGGTATGGACGATAATATACTTTTAAAAGTTTTGAGAGTTTTAGAAGAACAAAGAAAATGTACAGTTATGTTGTATGATGATCAGCAAGGTGTAAAATTTTTTTAATATTACCTTTTATATACTTGTTAATAATATCAAAATAAACCGATAGAATACATTCATTTCTTTGTCATTCAGCAGACATAAAAGAAATCTCTTTAGAAAAATAGATAGTAATTATTATCAGTTTTAATTATTACCTTCATCATTCAAAACATACTGATTAACATCTTCATTTGAACTCTCTAATAGGATGGTCGGGTCGTCTGCAGAAACAAGATACTGTCCATCTTGTAAATAAATTGTTGAGATGGTTGCATTTGCACATGCAATCTTAAATAGAACACAATATTAGGGAATAGATATTTTCAAACAATCATTAGTTTCTCACACTTTGGCAATTGCCGTCTTGCAAATCATCAACATTGTATTCTTCTAACATATAACTATCATCTTCTACATGGTTTGTAACTACTCTAATGGTTATTTCTGCTGAAGACATTTCAGTAATTACTGTTTATTTACGCCAAATTATGGTATGAGTAATAAGGCTCTGAAAATAAAATTTTCTCATTTTGTAATCATATTAACATATTTACAGATATGACACTAAGTCATTTTATTTTATAAACTATTGAGCGTTGCTATTAATATCAGTAGAAACACTTTTAAATTCTTAAAATACCAGTCGGTAAATAACGTTTTATTTCAGATTTTTTTTAATAAGAGTACAATGTAACCATACATATATACACCACGCAGTCAGCACATATAAAACAGCAGAAACCTATCATCTATGGCAGAAACCTAAACTGTACTGGGGAATGGGGGTAAGTCAGGATCATAGATAATAGATCTACAAAGGGTCAGGATGAATATAGACCATAGATAATAGGTACAGGTCATAGACATTATATTAATGGACGTACCTTAGCCGTATGTTATTGTAAAAATTTCTTGGCTCGAAAAGTGAGGGAGATGGCATATGATTTCGGACTACTGCTATCTCTTTCATGATACGCGTACGCACTATCCTGAGAGAGATGGATATTGTCCGAAACTTCGTTTTATCTCTTTTTTTCGTTGTATCACAATTCTGGTCGCTAAGGCACGTCCATTAGTAGACGTCGATGGTACAGACCATAGACATATATTAATGGACGTGCCTTAGCGGTATGTCGTTGTAATAATTTCTTTGCTCGAAAAGTGAGGGAGATGGCGTATGGTTTCGGACTAGTGCTATATCTTTCATGACACGCTTACGCGCTATCACTCTTTTTTTTGTTGTACCACAATTCTGACCGCTAAGGCATGTCCATTAGTAAACAAACGTCGATGGTACAGACCTATTATCTATGGTCTTGGGTCGTGTGAGTCTTTCACCTGATATAAATAATCCTCTATTTTAAACTTTACCAATATATTGTGCGTCGTTTGCGGGTTCTAAATATGCAAGTATCATAACTGTGTCCATTGGTTCTGTTTAAAAAAAATGGAAAATTGTTTCGGGTGGAGGTGGAAATGAATTGTCAATTTATCAAAAACTACTGAAAATATCATAATTTTATATATAATTAAATAAGAAATAACTGCGTGTCATTTGTGCTTGAAGACTGATCTAATATGGTAAGCCGAATTTATCTTTATATTATTTATTAGTAATAATTGCATATAATATATAGACAAATATTCATCGACGTTTACTAATGGCGTGCCTTAGTGGTCAGAATTGTGGTACAACAAAAGAAAGAGATGGAACGAAGTTTCATTCATCCCTCTCACGATAGTCCGTAAGCGTGTCATGAAAGAGATAGTACTAGTCCGAAACCATAGCCATCTCCCTCACTTTTCCAGCCAAGAAATTATTACAACGACATACGGCTAAGTCACGTGTATTAATATGTCTGTGCAAATACTACTATCATACTACTATTTTTCATTGTTATTACTAATATGCATGGGCCATTGTTGAATCATAGATAATAATATGATCATTGAAAAATTTAGTATAATTTGTAATCATTACTAATAAATAATATAAAAATAAACTCCCCTTACAATAATAGTTCAGTTTTCAAGCGGAAATGACACGCAATTAACTTGCGTTAATTAAATTATCATACCTTTGTAGTTGTTGAATTAATTGACATTTAATTTCCATCTGCACCCGAAATAATTTTCCTTTTTTTTTTTTAATAGAATTAATGGACACACAATTATTATACTTACTTATTTAGAACCCGCAAACGACGCACAATTTATTGGTGAAGTTTAAATTAGTGGATTATTTTATATCGGGTGCCAGTTTTACACACTATAAGTATATATTTCTTTAATCTATGATAACGATTTAAATCTTTCCTATGACCCTCTCACGTCACCATTTTAAGATTCACAATTTTACAGTATGACTTTCTTTCCTCTATTTTTATACTATTTCACGATTTATTTGTTTAATACTATACTTAATCCGTTTTTTCTTTATTTCTGCACGTTGAACATTGAAGATGGATGAGAGAAGAAATTGGAGCTCATTTTGTTGCTACTGGATCGTGTGGTAAATTAAGGTGTGCATATATATATATATATACATGTTTATTTAATTTAAGTGTTCACAATTGCTTTAACATTATTTTATGCAGTTTTTTTGTTAGGGAGGCTAAATTAATTATATTTGAATACTCTTAGCATAATATTTCATTTTACAGGAACATTATAAAAACTCCAAATGTCGTTAAGTTACACATCATTGGTTGTACCAGCCGCTCATTTGCTCCCATAGGGTGTACCTATAATCTTAAAGAAAGGAAGAGTGCCTTTTTTTTGTCATTGGGAACGGAGATGGTGTGTTGTTACTAAACAAGGATTTATGACAACTGGTAAGTAACAGTATCTATTAAAAATGAGATCCCAGAAACTTCAATTTCTTGCCTGTTTGTAAAGATTGTCCATGAGAAGGAATTACAGTTAATTGTAATGCTACTGAAGCAACCGATGATTTTGTCGCAAGGAGGAGACAACTGGAAGTTAGTTTGTAGGCTTTAGAACGCTACTTACTATAGTAAATTAAGGTGAGAATGGATGACATATTAATATTAATTACTCTTTATTAATCTGTTATAAAGTACATCTTTTAACAATTGTGTGTTGTCCACAGTTTAAATTGACGTTATATCTATCATTTGTCCGAGAAATGAGAGAAAATTGTCTACATAGGTGTTACTGTTTCTGGATTCAACATTGTGCAGTTATTTTTTAACTGATATCGGAGCAATTGTAGATTTATTTTTATTCCTTCTGGATCGGGTTTGATTTTCACAACGGCAAACTTTGGAATGTTTAAGTCTACAGTTAATTAAGGTGAGAATACTTGATATAATTAATGATAATTGCTCGTTATTAATCTGTTACCACTGTATCTGTTTCAGATCAATAGTGGAGAAGACAAAGAATATGCCATAGTTAAAATAATTCTTTATCTTGCGCGCACTGTCTAATAGAATTAATCTTTAAGTTCATTTTGTTAAAATTAACATTTTATTTAGTATTTTAGGTGCCTGAATTTTATTTGAATTATTTTTTGATTGTAGCTGTTTTTATCTTTTTGGTAGTTATACTAACATGTCTCTTGCTTACCTCTTCGCTTAGCTTAATGCATATTCTTACTAAATTGCTTTGCATTTACCCTACGTCTTCTACATAATTCAACGTTTCGTTGTCGTGTTCTATTCTCTTCTTACCCTTGTGGAACTAGGGAGGGCCTCCCCGAACGACTTCCCTTGGGCTTAGCTATTTAGTTGATCTTAAAAGTGCCTTATACACTTTTCGTGAGTCTACTCTGGCGTTACTGCTTTTCAGACAGGGTACAGTGGGTTATCTGGAATAGGAGCAATAGGCGACTGCCCAGCTTGCCTTGGCGAAATCTGTCCGATCTTCTCTACGAAAACTATTAGTATTTGTCGNTGTAATAAATGTAAATTGTTGTAACTAAATAAAAATAGATTATCATTGTGTTATCATTATTTTGGTGTTTAAATACATCATGTGTTTAATTTCCTGAATGCATTATTATAGCCCTCGGACGTGGGCAAAAATAAACCCGAAAGGATCTCAAGAACGACAAGTTGTGGAGAAGTTATATTATTTTTGTTACTACTAGCGTCCTCTTACAATTAGAAGCTGAACTATATAGAAAAACAGAAAATTATGATAGTAAGTTGATCCCGCGCTAAAAGTTTGACCCAAAAAATACCTTATGCGACTTATGCTCTCCTAATACAAATGTTCAAGTTTACAAAAATTTTCAGTTTTGCGACCCATATGAGGTCTGATCAACAAATAGCTGAATAATATAAATTTCAAAATTTGGTTCAACTATTTGTTGATCAGACCCTATATGGGTCGCAAAACTGAAAATTTTTGTAAATTTGAACATTTGTATTAGGAGAGCATAAGTCGCATAAGGTATTTTTTGGGTCAAATTTTTAGCGCGGTATCAACTTTCTATAATAATTCTCTATGTTTTTCAATATAGTTTAGCTTCTAATCGTACGAGGACGCTAGTAATAACAAAATTAATAAAATTTCTATCATTGGGTACTAGGCTTAATGGTTAATAACAGATTAATTTTAGAGTACTAATAAAGATTATATTTAGGCCCTATACGAGTTTTTCTAATGAAGTTGACTCTATTTTCCAGGATCTTAATTATATATTTCTCAACCATTGATAATTTTCTAGTAAGTTAAAGGTCGTTTAGAATAAAACGAAAAATTCATTTCATATTTTCATTACACAACACTTGCAATTTACATAAGATAGAATTCGTTCAAAAACAGATTGCTGCAAATTAATTAAATGACATTTAATTTCCATCTGCACCCGAAATAATTTTCCTTTTTTTTTTTTAATAGAATTAATGGACACACAATTATTATACTTACTTATTTAGAACCCGCAAACGACGCACAATTTATTGGTAAAGTNTTCCAGGATCTTAATTATATATTTCTCAACCATTGATAATTTTCTAGTAAGTTAAAGGTCGTTTAGAATAAAACGAAAAATTCATTTCATATTTTCATTACACAACACTTGCAATTTACATAAGATAGAATTCGTTCAAAAACAGATTGCTGCAAATTAATAGTATTTATAATATAAATATTGATAATTCAGGGATAATCCATTATTAATTAGACACATCCTTTACATTTATAACAAATTTATTTCAAATAACTGCATATTACATAATACAAACAAAATGTCGAAGAAATAACAATTTGTAACGACTTATAAAAGTTAAAAAACAAAATTACCTGTAAGAAAAAGTTAAGAAAACAAATAGAATTTCAAAGAAAATTCAATAAAAAGCGTCATATTATTCATAATATCATATTACTATTTAAATGCAAGATTAGAGAGAAAAAAGCCCCCCTAACCTTCTGTGGCCTTCACATCTCCCCTTATAACCACCCTATCCACCCAAATTATTTTCAATTTAATTTAAACAAATATGAACTAAAATGAGCACGGTCAAAAGATTAATTTAAAAAAGTTTTAACTATCAGCCTAAGTACGATTAATATAATATGACAGTATATGTAGAAAAAAACAAAATACTAGTACAAAAAGACAACAAAACAAATGACATTTCAAGGAAAATATAATAAAAAGCAAAAAATACGATGTTCTTCATTCTTCTCAAGGAATATCTCATAATCTGAAAGCAAATACTACAAAATTAGAACGGCAAATACTAATAGCTTTGGTAGAGATGATCGGACAGATTTCGCCAAGGCAAGCTGGGCAGTCGCCTATTGTTCCTATTCCAGATAACCCACTGTACCCTGTCTGAAAGGAAGTAACGCTAGAGTAGACTCGCAAAAAGTGTATAGGGTAAATGTAAAGCAAAACAGTAGGAATATGCAGTAAGCTAAGTGAAGAGGCAAGCAATGTTAGACAACTTCTACTATTACTAGGGATTAAAAAAATAAAACTTGTTAGTATCTCCACTACTACTACAAACAAAAATTAATTCAAATAAATAAACTAAAATGAACAAGTAAAACAATAATTATTTCAAATGAAAATGAACTTATGAAGGAATTTTCTAACTACGGGGTCTTCTTTGCCTTCTCCACCGTCGATCTGAAACAAATAGGGTATTAACAGATTAATAAAGAGCGATTAAAATTGACTATATTAAGTATTCACCTTAATTAATTGTAGACTAACATTCCAAAGTTTGCTGGTATAAAATGCAAACAAAGTCCAGGAAGAACACCATTTGAGAAAATTTGTTATTTCAGTGGAATTCCAATAAATATCCAGTTTCCCTCACTCATCGGTTGAAAATTAATTGTACAATGTTATAAGGCCATGACGAAAAAAACAAATCAAAAATATAATTCACGAAAAACCACACCCACATGAACATTGGTTGTTTCAGTAGAATTAAACTGAACTTCAATTCCCTTGCATTAGTTGAACGATCTGTAGAAATTGACAAAAAAGATATTGATTACACTATTAATTACAGAAGAGATTAAATAGACTTAAAAACACGCACCAAAAACAAGTAAAATAGACGAATTATAAAAATGGCAACAACTGTCAAGTATACATGACAAATCACATTTGACAGATAAATAACCATAGATAAATAGACGATGTCAATTATAATGTAGACAATAGATATTAAAATACCATAAATGCAGCATACAATAGATATTTAATTAAAGAAATACTATACATAACCCATAACGTCAATTTAAACTGTGCGCAATAGATAATTGTTACAAGAAATACCATGATAGGTTGATAAAGAGCAATTAATATTAAATATGTCACGTATTCTTAGCTTAATTAACTGTAGGAAGCGTTCTACAATTTACCAATATGAAGGGCAAACCAAATCTAGAAAGTATATCACAGATGACAATTTGTTGTTTCAGTAACTCCCAAATAATTTCCAATTGCATCCTTGTCAGGGCCAAAATTAACTGCAATTTCTCTTCATTTAATTGGCAATCTAAAGAAACAGACAAGAAGATGTAATTAATTACCACTTTAAAAGAAAGTGAAACAGTGACATTCACACTGATGAAAAGATCAGACATTAATTCTGCTGTTCTGCATCTGCCATATATGAAAAGTTGTTGAAAGTTGCCTAACAAAGCAAGTTGCAAACGTATAAGAAATTAAAGAAAATTTACAATTAAATTACACAATCTGACCTAAAACATTTTCACTTCTTTTACTTAATAGTTAATATTACTTTCTGCAATTAAAAACTGTATCCAAAGGTACTAATCACTAAAACACACTATAAACATCCTTATTGCACGATATTTCCGCCAAATTTAAAATATTATAGAACAACGAAAGAAACACAACAACCAATGTATTAGTTATAATTTCTATTAATTGGAAAATCCTGGGACTCCTACAGTGTTGCCAAGTAAACCTTCAGCACGGTTTATAAGTAGAAATGGCTGTGAGTAATATTAAATTTTTCAATGATTATATTCTATTATCCATAGACATATATTAATGGACGTGCCTTAGCCGTATGTCGTTGTAATAATTTCTTGGTTCGAAAAGTGAGTGAGATGGCGTATGGTTTCGGACTAATACTATCTCTTTCATGACACGCCTACGCACTATCGTAAGAGAAATGGACATTGTCCGACACTTCATTCCATCTCTTGTTTTTGTTGTACCACAATTCTGACCGCTAAGTCATGTCCATTAGTAAACGTCGTTGCTTTTATCTATGATATGTCTATGATCATCAAAGTTTACTAATGGACATGCCTTAGCGGTCAGAATTGTGGTACAACAAAAGAAAAGATGGAACGAAGTTTCGGACAATATTCATCTCTCTCACGATAGTGTGTAAACGTGTAATGAAAGAGATAGCACTAGTCCGAAGGTATACGCCATCTCCCTCACTCTTTTCGAGCCAAAGATTATCACAACTACGGCTAACACACGTCCATTATTATATGTCTATCTCTATGATCATATTATTATCTATAATTCACCAATGGCGCACGCATATTAGTAATATCCATAGATAATAGATCTACAAAGGGTAATAGATGGTCAACTCGAAATGCGCCGATTTGCGCGCCCTCCGGCAGGTGTAGTCAATACTAAATAAAAAAGGCGCGCACTTTAAATTTGTTAGTTACTTATTGTTTTTCGTAATGTATAAGTTAAAGTGAAAAATGGATAAGAAACAATGTATTTTCCTTTTTT